GTGTGTGTGTGTGTGTGTGTGTGTGTATGTGTGACCCGCAGCACCAAGGACCATCTACTTAAGTAAGGGAATCTCACACACACATATTGACCCGTCCCACTAGGGAGCATGTTGTGGTTGTGAATGATTTTACTCTTAATTTCAAGAACCTTTGACTGCTTACACCCCATTCTAGGATTCCAAGTAAGATGAAAAGATTTTAAAAAAAGACAAACAACTTATTCAGTTATTTAGTTCAAGCGCCTTCAAGGTTAGTGACTTCCTTCCTGAGAAAAGAGAAGCAGAGATGGGTAACAAAATGAAACGGACGGAGAACGGAGACCATATTGGAAAATACCTAATTGCATCACTCACTGCTTCCCAGTTTGATGTAATAAAATAACCATTTGATCTATATTGAGGTCCTGTGTGTGTGTGTGTGTGTGTGTGTGTGTGTGTGTGTGTGTGTGTGTGTGTGTGTGTGTGTGTGTGTGTGTGTGTGTGTGTGTGTGTGTGTGTGTGTGTGTGTGTGTGTGTGTGTGTGTGTGTGTGTGTGTGTGTGTGTGTGTGTGTGTGTGTGTGTGTGTGTGTGTGTGTGTGTGTGTGTGTGTGTGTGTGTGTGTGTGTGGATGGGTCCACTAGTGCCTCCAATGATGCCAAACAGGCCATGGTGTCACTATTCTGGCAGTGACACCATGATGATCTCTAGTCTTCAATACATATGTTTTGCAAAGCTAGGCCGAAATAACTATTAAATGGATTTCCACAAAATGTGTACACACACCTGTGGGCCATACAGGACGAAGTTTACCTTCTGGGTGTTACATTAAGATTCACGAAAACCACCATTAGCTTTTTTTGCATTACATCAACCAACAGTGGTACAGAGGTTTCAGACGTGTGGCGTTTTTTTTCTTGTACAGGATGACCAAATAAGCCCATTATCCTTGTGAGGAAATGATCCAGATGTGGCGTGTTGTTTCTCATTAGTGACATGCAGCTCACTCTTTTCCCTATTAAAACAAATACTCTATCTTGGCCTTGTGTAGGACAGCTGGAGATGAGTACTCAGTTAAGTGGAAGTAGAAATCAAAGCACTTGCCATCTTTTAGTGACGATTTGTCTAATTCTGGTATGTCCAAGCCAAGGGAGGGGGGGTTGGGTGGGTGAGAGATGAGCAGGGAGTTTGGGAATTAGGAGATGGTGTGTTTGTGGTGGGGGATGAGAAGAGAGACGGAGAGAAAGTGTGTGTTTGGACCAGCTGCACAGCTAATCTGTTTATTCTGCACAATTTGGCATCAAACACAACAGACTGCTGAGTGCCTGCTACTGCTTGTGGTGCCCCATTAAAAGGGAATTTATGGCTGCCTTAAGAGCAAGCCCGGATTACACATTTTCCGTCCTCCTCCCTCTTTCTTTCTCTTTCATTTGCTCTTCTTCTTTTTGCCGGCTATGGTGATGGTAGTGGGGTTTTTTTTACTTCTATTTCTAGCGGCAGCTGTCAGACAAGTCGTCAGAATGGCTCATTACAGACCCAAACGGGCACGTATCAACCATACGTGCCCGTATGCATGCCCACCTATACCTGTCAGCCATCTCTGCCATCTCCACTGTCACTCCACTGAGTGGTGCTCAGACATCACATTGAAAAGAGCCTGCGCTGGTGGCATCCCATGGACTCAGTATACACACAATAGTATACATGTAATATTGTATAACATCCCCCCTCAGAGGCATTTTGTTGAGAGCTGTGTCATCGGAACAGGAAGACATGTCATCTATGTTGTGTGGGTATTTAGAGGACAGTTTAATGACACATCTTTGTCTAATTTCTTCCAAGATGACTGAAATAATCAAGTCCCTGCTTAAGCTTTATAACATCATGAAGCTGACAGCTTTTACCCATTTAGTTTGCATTAATTTGTAACCAGACTTTGAACTTGTGCTGTAAAGAGAGCGTGAACTCGGGCCCACATCTCTCTCCATAAATCTCCTCGGCCAATGATAAATTCATATTTAATGACCATGGCCATCGTCTGGGAATGAGGAGCATTCTTTCATTATTGCCTCTTTCCCCTGCTGCTTGGTCGAGATAATTGATTTCTCTGTGGTAACAAGGTATCGACCATGCATGGTAGCCGGCTAAGACGGCAGTTCGATTCAAAGGAGGGGTGGAAAGGGTAGAAATAATATAGAGGGGAAGAAGAGGTGAGAGCAGGAGCATTGAAAGCCAACTAGCCGTGCAATTATTTGCAGTTAAAAAAACTCCCTGGCTTTAGGTGGGTGTAGATTGGACAATGACTCTTGTCTTGTTTTTAAGGGCTATTATAGGCCTAGCGCAAAACGCACAGGATATTTCAGTGTTGTATGTTTTATTCACCAAATGGAAAGCATATTGATCACACAATCTGGCACATAATTCACTGAAAACAGTGTCAGAAACAAATCTGGAGGAGCACTTTTCAAGCACATGCTTAGCCTGCTAAGGAAGCAGTATATTGGTCCTCATGTTCATACATTTGCACTATTACACTTTGCTATATTAATTTGATGTACTGCCTCTTCTCGCTGCACATTTGGATGTGATTTCAAAAGCAAATCTGCAAGATCTCTAACTTAATAATAGTGAACAAGTTTTAACACAACGGCACAGTAGGAACATAGACATGAACCCAGCAAGTAACAGAATGTGTAAAACACTGTTTCATATAGCAAAATAAATATACAGGAAAAGCTATATACTGGATATGAAAGAAACATTGGTCTACCGGTTAACATGGCTTTTTTCCCCCTAACAAACGTATTGATTAGACGGGTGGATTTTGACTGGCAGTTATTGAGTTGACATCTTTGAGGTGCCGACATTATTGACCTGGAGCAGGCGGAGCTGCAGACGCCCACTACATGCTACACAGCAAGGGCTTGACACATACTGTATTTTCAATCAGTCAATAACTACGCTAAACCTTATGAATTGAATAATGTACGGATTGTATTTGGCTTGCAGAGACGGCAATAGTTCTGTTTCTGGTTCCTTTTGGCATCACTGCCTACAGGTCACTCTATAAATAGAGGAATTAAATAGTGCTGTTGTTGTTGTGTGTTTACCAGCTTACATTTTAATTTATTTAAGAGCTCTTAATAGGACTAGTTACTCATTTGGCCCTCGTTGGTCCCACAGCAGAGTGGAGCTCTATCACTGCACACAGGGGCATGCTGGGATATGGAGCTACAGAGACACACTGTACACAGCCAGCTGTTTGATGTCTGCAACTGCCGAGCGTATGCTGCACCGTACAGCATAAATAAACACACAATCCCCCGATGAGAGGACAGATCGACACACAGGAGACCTTATTTCAGGCTAATGAACTATTAATGCTGATTTGAAATTCAATAACAAATTCCGAGGGTCTTCTCTGCAGTCGTTCATAGCTCTTTGTGTGTGTGAGAGAGAGAAAGGGAGAGATAACAAACTCATTTGGATGAACTCTGCACACCATATTTTCGTTTCTCCCCCAAACAGCTGGGCTCAGATCTCAAAGGGACTTGTGTGTTGTTGAAGCACTGTATTGAATGAGGCCATACAAAATGTATGTCAATGGGTTCAGCCTGGTTTAGCACTCTCAACAGAAAGTGTTAATGGAATAACTATAAGATGTATAAATGATCCCTGCTTTAATTCATAATAATGTTGGCCCTCATCGCCTGCCCACTCAGCCCAATAGATTATGGAAATGGCTGTAATGACTATTGGAACAATGAGCCAAATTGAATTATCATTCAGCGCCACATCGGCTTTGGAATAACTGAAGCTGCTCTTTTGCTTCTTCAGAGACGATTTTAAATAAAAAAAGCCAACATTACATTTCCACCAGGAAAATGAGTGTTAACATATAGGTTTAAGGCTGCACGCATTTGGCATTAACAGCATACTCACAGTCAATGGCGGCTCCAGAGTATTTTTGTTGGGTAATCTATGGTAGGGCTAACCCATACAGTGGTGGGGCTCAAGTCAGTATTTGCAATGTAATTACATACGTGAGGTTTAGATTATTTCCCAATCCAAATTGAGCTGTATGAAATAAAAAGGCACATTTGTCTTGTAGTAAATAAAAAGGGCGACCTGGAGCCAATCCTGCAATTTCCCCACAGGTGAAAACCCAACCCCTGCAGGGGGGTCTGGGGGGAGTGTCTCCCAGGAGATTTTTTGAAATACTAACATAAAATACACATTCTGGTACTCTCTTGAGAAGAACAATTTTGTATCTATTACTCCACGACATATTTAAAAAATGAATGCCATTTTATTTTTTTGTTACTTTGTTCTGAAAGCTGAACCTGCTGCTCCTCACAGAGAGAAGGGGCTGTGCCAATTACTTTACATTGTGGATAAGGGTGGATAGCCCCCATTGTTCTGTGTGTTAAAATGAAAGACAGCCCACACACCTATCAATCATCAAACCGTGGGGTCTTATTTCATTACGTGTTGATTTCTATCAACACATAATGTTGGATCGATGTATATAGAGATGTACTACAGCAAAAGTATTCTCCGTCGGGACTTCCTACAACAACACCACGCCGTTATCGTGATTCATGCCAGAAGACATTATCAAAGATGTTCTATTAAGAAGACGATCACTACGTGACAAAAGTTTTCAAAACCGTTTCTGGTCTTCGGTATTTCCAGACAAGTGGCTACTGAAATCAATCTTACTAACTGCTGTCTGTGCAATTTACTCCGCGCGAGTTGGCGGACTTTATTTTGCTTACTTTAACATACTTTTTCATGGTGGGGCTAAGCCATTTCTTTGTATGGCTGTAGCCTACCCCAGCAATACCCTGGCGCAGCTACTGCTCACAGTTAATAATAGGGTAACACCAATCCATATTCAGGTGTTTTTTCATTTAATTGCAAAACAAAGCCTACATGTATGCCTCACATGCTCTAGTCTAGGGCCTCATTTAAGCAGAGTTCATTGGAGCACATGTATGAAGAACACACGCCAAGACAAAAGGACCAGTTGTTTGATGTTTTATCTTTAGCTCAGCTGTGAACTTTTGTGTGATCTTATTTGTTTAACATTCATTGCACAAAATCTTTAGTGACAGTTACTGAATTAGTTAAACTACATTAGAGACACGGTATAATGGAATCAGAGTGTATAACACATGCAGTATTACTGGAGTACAACCACAAACGTCTTCATTGTTAGGCAAATCATGATTATATTTGGTTTTAATGACTGAATACTGTGAATCTGGTTTCATCAACATACATATTTCTCTTCTAAATAACTCATACTTAAGGATGTCATCATCACACTGAAATCTGGAGCTTGTAAGAAGCGTGACCGTGAGAGCAGCACGCTAGGAAAAAGTCAGAGGAAGTGTCACTTCCTGTAAGAAAACTACAGTGATTAAAATACTGATAGCGCATGCAAATTAGTTTTTACATTAAAACATTTAAGAAGCATCAGATTTTAGTTTGTGATGACCACACAGATGTAATCTCAGACCTCTGTTTGTGAGAGAGAAAAATGTTGACTCAACTGTTCTAGGTCACAGGAATAATTTACAGTTTTCCAATTATCTGCTGATTGTAATGAGTGTCAGTAACTCCGACTTTTTTGTGCATAATATACAGTAGATCATTGGTTAGGGCTTGCCTATCAAAAGTGGTGCAACAGCAGCCTCTTGTGGCGTGTGTTTACAGGTAGAAAACACATTTACTTGGATTGTTACACAGACTGTGCAAAATGCAACAATACTCCCATTCTGTATCAGTGTTAACATTGCAGTAAAGTATATAAATTGCCATGTTTGTTATACTTCATAGGACACAATCATATAAATATAAAACAAAATGTTAAAATCAAGAAAACAAAAAAAGGATATCAGTTACAGGACAATGACAACCAATACCAATACACAAAGAGACACTGGCCAATAACAACATTTCTTTCCTCTTTTGTCCAATGCCACTGTTTGCTTCACGTTTGCTCGAGCCCCGTCCCGTCACTGCGGTTACAACCACAGGTTCAAAGATGGCCGCACACAAGTGAATGCATAGCTTTGGGAATCAAACCCAAGAGTTAAACACAAAGCACAATCCGTGAATTGTTGATAACGGTCGCTTGGTCAAAGCCTTCAAACCTCGTACAATCATATAGATGTCCCACAGTTTTGGTATAAAAAATAAATCATTAGTAATCAAAGATATAAAAACATAGTTGTGCGGAAATCTTTTCAAAGAAGAAATCTGATTAGAAAGTCTGTTCTAAAAAAGTTACATGCTAAAAATTACACAGTAGTTTTCCCACATGATTATGTGAACATTGGCTATATTCAGTTATTGCAGTAGGTATCCCAGAAGTACAATATGGGTGGTGTTTTTTTTCTCCTTTAGCATTACTTCAGCTGTGGAGAGGCGAAGAAGTTGCCCTGGCGATGACAGGCAGCTGACGCTTTGCTTTTGCTCCCAAATCTGAAAGATGAGGGGGACAAGGGTTAAAATGTCAAGCTTAGTGAAAGTCATTTTAACAATCGCAATGTGAAGACAAATGTTTTGAGGTTCAGTCTAAAACCGGAGCTTAATCTGACTGTAAATAATTTAACCAGATCTTTAAAACCTCTGTGTCAAACTGTTAACACAATACCTTGGATTATGAAATGTATACAACATTTTGTCCCGTACATGCATTCATTAATTTAAAGCAGAATGCTAAATGATTATTAATAATTTAGTTTGGAATATTGTGAACATGATCTCGGTTTTTAAACTTTTTTTTATATAAAGTTAATACCAATATTACATGATCATTTTATTTATAATTCAAGCCAATAAATTGATGGTGTTTTCACTTATGCCAAATTAGACCTCCAGAACATTTTGACTTGTCATAGTAGGGAAAGCACTGGTGCTACTAATAACATTAACGATAGCTCAGTTCAATAACATGTCCACGAGAAGCAGCAAAGGTAATACCAGGACCCTGAAACTGAAGCTGCCAAATTGAATTACGCTATCAGTCATTTTGTTATGTTCTTTTGTACAGGTCAAGGTGAAATGTGTAAAATATAATTTCATGTAGAAGGAATTAAAATGTGTTTCACAAGCCCCTTTGAAATATAAAAACTGTAAATTACCTGTAAGAGAGAGGTGAGAAATGTAATAAGTAATGGTGTGATTCCAAATGTTCTATTTGCAAAAAATGTACATTCATAGTCATATTAGTGCCAATCATAGTTTTTACCATCCTCACATCAGAAAGTTAGTTATCCAGTCGACAAATGAATTACCTACTTGGACTTTCTCACTTAAAATAAAAAGGCAGCTAGATGATAATTAACAAAATAATTGGTTACAGGCTTGCTTGGATTAGGCAAGGTGACATTTGAAAAAGCTAGCCCTACTTTGTCTCTGATATCCGTGAGAGAGAAAGAGTGAGCTTACATGGTGGTGCTGGAGAGGGTCTGCTTCATGCGCTGGGACAGCGAGCTGGAGGAGGGGGTTTTGGCCATCATCTGGTGCTCTGGAGTGGTCAATGGTCCCAATATGCTCACTGCAGAAACATTGAAGATCATTTGTCATCCAAAGATGATGAGTACAACTGCTCAAATAAAGTGTTATACTCTTTAATGTCGTATCATGTGTACCATATAAAACGTTTAAATTAAATAGAACACAATGTCTTATTTCTATCCACTTTTTCAATGATTTACCTTGGTGGTGGTCTGGAGTTTCAGTTTGGTGAGAGCTGTCGATGACAGTATAATCAGGATAAGCAAACTGGCCCCAATAGTCAGCTGGAATAGAGAACAGGCGCTCCATAACCTAGAAAGACAAAGTAAATCCAGTAAGTGTAGTCACAAACATTCTTAAATCACATAAAATAACATTTCTACATAATAACACTGATCTTGAAGTGAACAAAAGCACACAAAAATCCATATATTTCACCATTGTGATGCTGTATAAACAGTGGACTGTGAATGTCTCATTATTATTATTATTATACGTTACATGTTAGACGCTTTTATCCAAAGCGACTTACATACTCAATACTGTGGGCAATCCCCACAGGAGCATTTTGGGGTGAAGTGTCTTGGACACAACGACATGCAGTGGGGTTTGAACCTGTGCTCCCCTGATCAGAACACCACACACTGCGCCACAGACCCCCCATGTAATGTAGTCAGAGCAGTTATTCTTTACTCTCGTTCACTTTACCCTTGGTTGTCTGCTTGTGTCATGCAGGATGGTCATTGGTTCTGGTTCAGGAACAGCATGACCCACAAGAGTTGGGCCGAACACTCTGGCCAGGTTGTTCACATCCATCTTAGTATCCACACACTGGGAGACCCTTGGGGGAAAAAAGGGTGAAGGGAAATGTCAGTCCTAATTGAAATGAAAGATGACCTGTACTGCAGAGATGTAGGAGGTTACAGAGGTAGGACTTTGCAAGAGACAATAAGAACATTCTATGGAACCATAATCTTTGACGAAAAAACGACATCGTTAATCATCCAGATATGCTTTAAACTCTTGGAATCACTGAGATTATTTTACCTTACATTTAGTTAAAGAACATATATTTTGTATTGCCCCACAATGTTGTTTTGTGACCATCCTTTATTAGTCAAAACTAAATAAAGAAGTCATATGATTCCCCTGAATAAATAATAAAACAGGGCCCATTTTTCACCACAACAAGCTGCACAACATTTTGAAGCCACTTGTGAAAAAAGAACAAGATTATCCCTGTAATGGCAACTCACTATGATCAACCTACTGTGGTCATTTTTAATCATGAGACACTATAAGGTGCCGTTTACACGAGAACGCAAACGGTTGTATCCGATACTTTCCCCGTTCGTTCAGATGAGGCCGTAACGGAAACAGACCCCGCAAACGATAACGGGTCCCAAGGTGGATAGTAGGTCTGTACCCGAATATTCGTTCGTTGGAGTACTATTCGGGTTTCAATTTCGTTATTCGGATATTCGTTTTGTTTGTTTTTTTCTCCGTGAATTTATTGACATCTTCAATATCAACGTAAGAGCTTGTGCCTCTTCGGGGGTGCTAACACTTAACCATACACGTTATCGTTTACTTTCTCCGTCTTTATATGTAGATATTACTTTTCTCCGTTACGTTGTTTCCAATGCAACAACAACTTCCTGTCAACTGCGCTAACTCTCCTTCAAAATAAAAGCATGTCCATAAATAGGAAGCCAAGCCAAATTACATTAACCTGTTAAGCCCCGAGCCTGTTTTTCAGGTCTAAGGCTTGAAAATGACATTCCCAGAACAAATGACCATATCTTCCCTTCTAAAAAGGGTTACATTTATAATCTTTTTTTCTCAAAGCAAGGTTACATCTGTGAGTTGTATGTAGAAGTGTCAGAATCAATATAGATGTTATTATTTTTAAAGTAAATTCAGATTGAACACAGTAAAAAAAAAAAATGTAAATTATTGTATCCGTCCAAAAAAAAAAAAAATTACTTCTAGTGAAAACCACCCTTGAATGATGGGATGGTAGACTAAAAGCTTTAGGAATCCAAACTACAACATATAATAAGTACCCTGTATCAAGATTGATGACTTTTTAGAGAGATTTAGCAAAAGAAACCCACTTCTGGGGTCATTTGGGTGGATTTTCCATATCTCTGGCCCCCCTTGGTCGATTTTGATGATTGACATCTCTTTCTAACCGTCAGAGCCAATGGAATCGAGGGGAACTCCCACATACTCCTTATTTGGTAATGAGTGAATATCCAGAGCCCGAAAAATGGTATTCGGGACAGCCCTAGTGGATAGATCTGCAAACGGAACGCTCTGGGGGGCCAAACGGCTCCGTGTGTACGCCCTATACGATAATCTCCTGATAACGATGAAGCCATAGCCCCACCTCTGCTGCTCACTGCTGTAGCATGGTCAGTAGCTACTGCTAGTGCTACTGACCATGTTACAGATGTTAGCGCAAAATCTACAGCTCCTCTACCACAACCATCAGCAACAAGTGGACATGGAGAACTACATGTTGCTAAATCCACCAAGGGGCATAAACAGAAGGGCAACCATGGCAACCATGCTCGGGGGTCTTCTTCGCTGCTTTTGGTGTATTTTGTGGCGAAAGTTCAGCGCCACTTACAGGCCCCGGCATATGTACTACAGCGTCTCCAGCGCTCCCGAGCGGTCTCGTGTGAACGGAATACTTTTTTGATATCGTATTCGGTTCGTTTGCATTTCGTATGCGTCCCATCCCAGTTAAGCATTTCTAAAATGTAGAGAAAATTACTTCTGCAGATGGATCATCAGGCAGGCCAGAGTGTCTCGGTTGGGCTGTGGCAGCTCACCGATGGCCTGGAACAGCATGGCGAGACTGTTGCCATCATCCTGGATTTCTACAAAATCAATAACACCAGTCATTTAGTATCAATATTGAAACATTTACTTAAAAAGGCATACAATTGTGTAGAAATTCAGACCAATCAAGAGCACTGGCATACAGCAGTCTTCTTTCTACAAGCCTCTGAAACTCACCGGCTGCTTCCATGAAGACTTTGTTGAGGTGGAAGGTGAGCAGTGGCTCTGGGAGGTTTCTAAGGAAGTCTTTGAGGACACCTGTGATGACATTAATGTCTTCCACTTTGTGAAGCGGAGGCAGAGTCTTTCCTCTAATCAGCTTCTCCTTCAGCTCTTTCACATGGCGCTCTTGGCCGGAGATTCTGTAGAGGCCAACCTGGGGCAAAGGAAGAGATAAAAGAAACAAGCTCCCATTATCCGGCTTTCTGTGATACCGTACTGCTGAATGAGATTACTAATTAAGAGAGCAATTGTAATCGCACAAGGGGAAAAGGATCAAAGCATAACACAGAGGTGACAAGTAAACAAGGACTTTAATATTGTCTGTCTCACCTCGTGTAGGCCTCTGTGTTCTATCTCCTTAATGCAGTAGATAACCAACGCTGGGATCTTCGGGGAGCTGGCTGGAGCAAAGTCAGCCAGGGTGCTCTGCACACAGAGTACATACGTTGTATCTAAATATAATGCATTAGAAAATAGGAAAAAAATAGTGTAACATGCGTTAAATGTACCTCTGTGTTCTTGATCTGAGTGCTGGCCACTGTGGGGCTACAGGGCAGGGGGCAACTGTCGCGACACTCTGGGTGGGTCACAAGCCGACAATCCTGGCAGCGCAGGTACATCTTCCCAAACTTTGTTTTTCTCCCACATGGTATGCACACCTCAGACTTGATCACCTTAGTGAGGGAAAAGTGACAAAGATGAGTATATACACGTCAAGTAGTGATACTTAAACAAGGTAAAGAAGCTTGTACTGTTAATTTGTGTTAATTTCGTTGACTAAAACTATGATATGTTCGTCATAGTTTCTTTTTTTCAATGACTAAGTCGAGACGATGACGAGACGGCACCGACGTCAGTAAACAATAACTGTAACGATATCAACATGCAGGCGTTGAATGAGTCTGTGTCTGTGCCGGTCTTAGCTACTAGCTTCGTCCCAGCATGTTGTTTTTGCAGATGTTTTAAGAGATTTGAATTACTGGTTTGGGCAGTAGATAGGATCTTTGACCCGCCAGGACACAACTTACATTTAACAGAAACTTTCTTTTCTTTGTGCTCGACAAAAGTGAAATAGTGAGAATATCTCCAGGTGGAGAAACTAGACTTGAGCTCCGCCGCCGCCATGATAGTCTTGTTAGTAAACAACACAAACACGCCCACAGCCCGTCTCCGCATGTGACACAGGAAGTATCTAAGTACATTTACTCAAGTACTGTACTTAAGTACAGTTCTCATCTCTGTTCGCCTGGCTGTTGACTATATAAAAAAACTAACGGAGTAACGCACCATGTAGTAACGGTAACTGAGTTACTGAATTTAAAAAGTAATGCGTTAGAGTACTAGTTACTGCCAAAAATAACAGCGTTAGTTCCAACACTGCTGATAACTGACTTCCACGTTTAGGTTTCTTTGAAGACCTTTGGTTTTTGTGGTATTGTAAATAAATATGATTTTTGTTACACTTTACTGGTCTGGTCTCCCATCTTTGTTGCAGCCTATGAGTCGGGCCGTAACAAAATATTATCAAAGATAACGTTACATCTCTGAGTCAGTTTTTTTCCCCAGCAGTTCCATTTCCGGTGCTGCGGCTGGGCACCAGTTGTGTGTCTGAATTACACCGGGCCAGCGGAACACTGAACTGTCAGGAAGACTCAAACCAACTAACCTTATTTAATAGAAAGGAAAATGGCAACAACAGGGCTTGGGAGCAGTGGTCGCGTTAACCGAATACCCCTCCCCGTCCCTGTCAGCGCGAGTGAGTGACGAGTTGTGTACAGACCCGTCGGGTAATAATGGATTTGGACTGTACATTTACGATCCTGTCCGTCAAAATGACGAACAACGAAATAGTCTAATGCCACCACTGCTTGGGAGAAAGAAACGAGCGATATTTTGGCCCATTTTCGCTACAATGAGGCGGAGAAAAAAAGCAAATGCATTGCTTTATCAGAAGGAAAGCAATGTGGCCATAACACAGGTAAAACACCACAAACCTGACCAGATACTCTCTGCAGTCTGCAAAGCTGCATTCTTAATCATTCGACCTGTGGTTTTCATCAAATAAACCAAACCAATAATTTGCTAAAACTTATTTAATAACAAGATTATATCTTATCCTTTTTTTCATCAAATAAGGATAAGATATAATCTTGTTATTAAATAAGTTTGACACAAATGACAAATTATTGGTTTTGGCTAGACTAGTTTGACTGAAATGTTGAATATAATATGATGACTAAAAAATACAAAAATGTCAACAGTTTTCATTAACAAAAAGTATATTTGACTAAAATAAGACTAAAATGCTCAGACTTTTAGTCGACTAAAACTAGACCAAATAAAAACAGGATGAAGGTGACTAAAACTAACAAGGACATTTGACACAGGACTAAGACTAAATTGAAAAATAGCTGAAATTAACACTATTGTTAATAAAGACACAAAAAGTATACAGGCTTACTGTTTTTCCGATGAACTGGTGCTTCTTTCCTCCTCGGTTGTTAGTTCTGGGGGTTCGGAGCTTGGCGGTGTAATCTGAGACTGCTGTGCTGGGAGCCTCACTGGCCGTCTCTGATTGGTCAGTAGTGGTTGTGTCTCCCCATGCTGGAGCAACTGTAGGCAACATCTCATGTTAGTAAAGTCTCCAAAAGGTGTTGTAAAGGTCCCATAAAGTCAATACAAATATCTTAAATATTCTTACCGCTCTTACTGCTGCGTGTCCAGTACGGCACGGTTTCAATGGTAGAGACCGCTTCTACAGCACCGCCATTTACCGGCACAGTGATGGTGGTTTTGGCAATTATAGACTCATTCATCTGAATTATAAAAAAATAAACAAACAAATAAAATATGTTTAATGCTCTGTCAAACCAAACTGGTGGAAATTGGAAGAGTTTGTTTAGAATAAAAGCTATTTGTGTTAGTGTTATATGATGCATTCAGCTGCAGGGGTCAGCAGTACCCTTTCTGATGTGCGTCCAGAGGAGCGAGGTTTCTTCAGTGCCTGTGGAGGAACCTCTAAGAGTTTTCTGGAGGAACGCTGTGGATTAAAATGTAGATAAACATTTAAAAACACCTTTTTATGTATTGGCGGATGAAAATAAGAATTATACAGCAATAAAATGCTGTGCTGATGTGTAGAAACATGTTTTCAAAGGTTTTGTCAAGATGACTTCATCGTTAATGCATGCAGGAGGCAGTTAAGGAAATGACTCACTCGTTTCTGGCGCTTCCTCAATCTCACAGTCTTCATCACAGAGGAATCCCAGTCCTAGAGGCAAAGAGGAGAGATAGAACATGCTGGTTAAATAACTTAATCGACAATGTTGTCTTACTAACTGATCCTTAAAGTCAACAATCCAAGAAAGTGGGTGAATGTACCAGAGAGTCGTCTGTTTGGTCGTAGCTGATGTCTGACAGCAAAGAAGCTGATTCGTCAATGGTAGTTAACCTGTAAAATAGATTTAAGTCAGAAATTATTCTTAAGAGATTTTGTTGACGAACAAAAAAAAGTCCAGGAGTACAGTACACTTAATTTAAGTAAAAGTTCAAGAAAGGATGAGGCACTGAAGTTAGATGAACACACAAAATCATTAATATTGTCTATGAGTACTGTCTGAGGATAATAATAATAATAATAATAATAATAATAATAATAAGGGATCCATCAATAAAAACTGAAAAATAGAGGACGTGTGATGTGATCAGGGTGGATATGCCAGTGTGTAGAGATATGTTTTGAGACGAGATTTGAAAATGGAGAGAGTCAGTACAGTGCACTGTTAATGGTGCTCCTCTGGCTGTTTTAGAACCAGAGGAGGAGGGACTGACCTTCGACTGGAGTTGAGGTTGGCTTTAGCAGCCTGTGCTGCCTGGGAGTGGGAACTGAGGAAGGCCAGGGCGGAGCGCTGCTCCTCACTCAGGTGGACACTGTTACCGTTGTTTTCTGATATCAGCAGCTCTCGGATCAGCTGTAGCTGACGTTCCTGTTACACCCACAAACAAACAGGAAATTAAAAAGAAACCAATGAATGTAGAGATAAAGGTTCATTATTCCAACAAACAACCATTAGTAAAAATATTCATGCAGTGACCAGCAAGGTGAGCTTTACATAGCGTAGTCACCGATGGCATTATCTGAAGAAAAGATTAAAGATTTTCACTTTTCTAATTACCCATTTCTCCAATAAGCAATTACTTAGTTATGTGACAGTGTTTCCCCTCCCTAGGTTTACTGCTTTGGGGGGGTCCTACATTGGGATATTTGTTTTTTTAATTATAAAATTATAATTTTTTTGTTTTTTTTTACACCTTCAATTTCAGTGGGGCTCCGTTGGCGGGGCGCAGCACCCCTCCAAGACAATGGTAGGGGAAACACTGTATGACTTATAAGTATTGTAGTTGCACAAACCAGCTTCTCGTAGATTGCCTCAGCTTTCTGCCGCCGGCGGATCTCCACATCCACTTGGTTGCGGGCATGCTTCAGTTTGACCTCCAGGGCTCCCCTTTCAGTCTCTGTTTTAGCAAGCACCTCCTTAGTGGAAACCAGCTCGTCGCCTGACCGCTTCCACTTCTTCCGGCACTCCTCAAAGTTTGATGCCATCTGGAGGAACTCTGAATAACACAACAGAAAAGGACATTGTGGTATTGCTGTCATGCACAATATACTTTTTCCCTCTGTTGCTGTTATGTGTTCAAGCTCTCTAAAAAACAATTTGGTTTGCAGTGGGAAATATGCAAATGACCTCGAAGCAGAGCACCAAAAGACAAAAGACAGTGGGCTCTGCTGTAAAGTGACATTTCTTTTATGTTATTTAAAATGGAAATGAGTGGCATTATATGGACTATTGAAATGGAAATTAGGACAACGCCCCAATAGCCATTTCAACCCCCTTTTGTGTCAGGCACCATCAGTATCCACAGCTCTCTGTAGTAGTGGGTCTGGCCGCTTGTATTTACTAAAGCAGAAGCTCTTCACACAGTACGGCAACTGCACCCAATACTAGCCTTCTAAAGTTAGCACCATGCTATAGCGGAACAGCCTTACTAGGCTCCATTGTGTTTCAATTACAGCATTCTTCAGAGGTGGCAAATACCAAAACAAAGTGTGGAAATAACTTACGTGGTTCAATGCCCTCTTGCATGCCCTCCACCTGGGCTCTGAGGCTCTGGAACTGGTTGTTCAGGTTCACCACAGACTCCATCGTGTCTCTCTGTTGCTACTTAGGGAGTAGAGAGAAACAGGTATATGATAACTCCAGTTAATGCTAACCTATTTATGTTGTTGCTGTGTGTCAACCATGTAACGTTACTCACATGTCAGTAGGTTAACATTCAAACATGAGAAGTGAAACACCCCTACATTAGCTCTAGCCCTGTGCTAAAGAAAAACACATTCTTGTTGTTAGCTACTTATGTCGAAGCGTTCGCTATAACATAACCGGCACTGTATTCAAAACAACTATGCACTTCGCTAGATATGAACAGTAAGTAAGCTATCGGGCTGCTAACATTAACATAACAAGTGTGTGTTGACTTAGCTAACTATCGTCACGTTGGTCAAAACTCAAAAAAGACACTTACCTGTGCGATTGTGTTTCTATGAGAATGTGGCTGACATGTAATGTAAAAACGTCCGATGTTAAAATCAGAGGTTAAATGGTTTGTTCCCTCTCCAGCAGCAGAGCCACACCTGTCTGATAAAGTTTGAACATTCTTTCAAGAGTTCAAAAATCAGCGCCGCTTTTCTTCTTCGTGCGCTGGCTTGGAGGAGGTTGGTGAGCTTTATCGCCTCCAACGGTTTTAGAGGTGGTACTGCAGGGCGTAATGGCCATAAATGCAGCAGCGTCCTCTGGTTCCCAACCTCAAAGGATCCCCTGTGGGACTGAGGAATGTAGGGTAGGGGTATTATTCACTAGATGTTAGCCTTATAAAATAGTGGGTTTTATGCATAGGGATGCAAAGTAGATCTACTCAAGTATTGCATTTAGTTACAATTTTGAGGGACTTGTACTCAACTTAAGTACTACTTTTGACTTCTACCCCACTTCAATTAAGAGGTAAATCGTGTACTTTTACTACATGTATTTAATACTTTAGTTACTTTGCCGAATTGGATAAATGATGTCAAATATAATCAACAATTTAATAAGACTTAAGTTACACCCAGTCAAATTTAACATCTACCCTGCAGTATACAAAGTAACTGAAGTTGGCTGCACCTTTACCAGCTTTGATTAATTAATAATTACATTAAAAAAAATATGATATATTATATTCTGAAATGGGCCAATATGCACGAGTACTTCTTCTTTTCGTACGTTTGGTAAGTACATTTTGATGCTAATAATGTTGTACTTTTACATTTTGATTGCAGGACATGTACATTACACCCTGGGAGTTCTATTTTTACTCAAGTACAAGATCTGATTACTTCTTCCACCTCTGGTTAAAGGACATTATATAGGCCTATATTATTATGACAGACGACCTCAGGAGTCTTACCTTGCATTCACCCAAAGTTGTCTGTACAAACATAAATGAATATACAACATTTTAGTCAATTAGTAGTCAATCAATCAATGTTTATTTATATAGCCCAATATCACAAATGTTACATTTGTCTCAGTGGTCTTCACAGTGTGTACAGAATATCAGTATGACAATACGACACCCTCTGTCCTTAGACCCTCACATCGTACAAGGAAAAACTCCCAGAGAAAACCCACAATTTAAAGGGAAAAATGGGAGAAACCTCAGGGAGAGCAACAGAGGAGGGATCCCTCTCCCAGAATGGACAGACGTGCAATAGATGCCGTGTGTAAATTGAAAAGATAATACATTTGCAACATAGGTAGTCCAAATGTTTGGAAATGCATGTGTCTATAATAGGAAGATGAATCCACGAGGATATCCATCCAGGACCTATGATCCAGGACCACAGCCACGACTCAAGATCCAGGACACAGGACCGCAGGATCATCCATGACTCCGGATCCCGGCGTATATAGATACCAAAAAGAAAGACATTTGGGGAAGCTGGGTTAATCGGAACATGAAAATACAAAGGTATAGACGTATAGTAGTGTGAGCGTATTTAATATGTGTGAGCGTATTTAATATGTATAATTTATTAAACATTGATTTTGTCATTTGTTTTTCCAATTGTAATATCTCTCTCAACTGTCCAATTCATTATTAATTATTGAACGGATAGCAGCTTCAAGACTTCTAACATCCTCTTAGAGTAGGGAATAATGGGGGTCATATATTATGCAAAATGTTGCCTTTAATGACCCAATCAATATTTATAATCTACCATACAGAAAAACAACAATACTTTTAAATATCTGGATCAAACTCTGTATCAATATGCTCTGGAGTTTGATAAGTCCTTTCTTTCAAACATCAGCTTCCAACTGTGCCTGGTAGCCCCATTGGTAATATAAATAACCATAAATGACTGAAATAGCCTTTTCTTTTGCACAAAAAATAAGCAAGTCAATTTTACTAAAGGTTTGTGAGTCCAGTATCTGCTGTTTCCTGCTTCCAGTGCTTTGTATCACAAATATTCAATTCTGTATAGTGAAATTATGTGTGAAATCGTAAAATCCTTTGAAACAACCAGTGTATTCTGGTTTGTGAGCCTGGCACACGGGATGTGCACAAAAGCATCATTAATCAGCCATGCATGGCATATCTGGGTGCAGCAGAAGCTCTACTGTGCAACATTAAATCAGGGTAACACACACAAACACACTAAATCAATTGCAAACCATTTACATATATGTCTCCATAACACATCAGACTTTATAAACAACTCAATACTTTAACTGATTTGTGTGTACTTGTGTGTTTTTATGATACATTGGCAGCCTGATTTAGCTTCACACTTGTCCCCAGCACATTGTGTGTTCTGAATGCTGCAGGTCCATTAGAGGTAGTTTCAGATAATAAGACCTGTCAGTCAATATGCGCTCTCCGTCTTACTCCATTATTCATCTCTATGTGTACATTTCCTCTAGTCACAGATCATTTAACTGCAAGGATTCTCCTTTTACATCAATCATCTTCTGTCCATTCTTAAACTGAGTTGACTTTTAAAGCTATTTGCATTCATCTGTAATTCAGCATCAACCATATACCAACCAGGATCTAAAAAAGGGAAGTAATTTGTCTTTGTATGCACCCCAAAGTAAATCCCTCGTATGTGTAAACGTACTTGGTAATAAAAGCGATTCTGATTTTGAATTCATATTGCAAGTCAGAACAGTTGCTTTCATTGTTACATTTTTTACTTACATAATGTTTTTAAAGAATGTGTGTTTAGAACACAGAGCAAACATTCTATTTATCAGACCATACAACATATTGTAAAAGGCATGTTACTACTTTGTTGAGTTTATTCAGACAGCATATAACTTGCACTGCAATACCTGTACATATATTCTTTCATTTACAAGCTGCTCTTAAGACAGAGTGTTTACCTGAATGATGAGTTCATAGCTGTCCTTCTAAAAGGTGTGTGGAGAATAAAACAACAAAATCAAATTTTACAAGGAGTGAAAAAAGTGTCAGGAGGCTCTCATGCACCAAAGTTTCAGAGGAAGCACCTGCGGATTGTGCTGACTGCAGGGTTAGGCCTCCTCAGTTGCACCATTGGAAAGGTAATGGATCCACAAACAGCCTCATGGGGGACACTTGGCAGATATACATCTATCTACTTAGGAGGATGCGTTGAAACAGAACACACCCTCTTTACATCCTGTGTATGTGCGCACAAAGCAACATTAACTTTAAGCGTCTGTATACAGAAAAACAAACATTTGGATTTATGGCATTTCCCCCAACAATATGCATAGTTTCTGTCCACTTTGGTGCATAAATGGAAAAATAGCTTGTCTATTGTTAAACAGAAACATAATCATCCATATCTGACAATGTAGAGGGAGTAGACACAAAACAATATAAACACCTAGAAAACGTAACGCAAATACATTAGCCCTGCAGTTAAAAAGTATTAAGACAGTGTCAGGGTTTGAATTTCACTATTTCGTTATTGACAAGGGCAGTAATATATAACACATATTGTAAAGTTAGTCTCTTAAATTGACCGCATTGTAATGCACATTGTATTAAAGGCTTATCTTCGAATTCAATCAATGCCATAAAACCTTACAAGCCTCACAAAGGTAGTTGTTATCAAGGACATATTGAATTTCATTAAATGTTTCCAGTGTGCATGTTTTGTTGTCAGCCCCCGACAGACTTTACAGTCTGGCACCAAAAGTCAATTTATATGTAATGTCTCTGAGTTAACAGGATGTTTTTACAAAATGGATTGTCACACCACTGGCAGGACTCAACATCTGTGAAAGGACACTGGATAAATCTGATGGTGCTAAGTGAGTCTGCAGGTATGTGGGGAGGCTTTGGCCAAGTGAGCATAGTGATAAGATAATGTGCATAGATGCACTCCAAGCAACCCATCAATTGGATTACAAGTGTAATATCCCACTCAGAGTGTTTACTGGAAGAGGCTCCCTCTTTCCTTTCCTGCTTCAACAACAACAATACTTTTATCTTCCATGTTTTGAAACCTGACACTTGGTAAACACTCCAGCCCGAACACATTCAAGAGTGGATAAAATAGCTTATATGTTATGGTTTGAAAAATGGCAGCGAACTCTATAAAAAATTATTTGTATTGATTTAAGCTGTTTAAAGCAGTATATTGTGTTGCTTCGTGAAAAGAAAAGAGCATCTAACTGAAAAAAGTAAAACAGTTGTCAACAGAATCTGTTACTATTTATGAACTTTAGATGTAAAACTCTCATGTACTAATTACATTTTTATCTTAAACTGAATTAAAAGAAACCTGAAAGTGGTGGTATTGTGATTTTTCAGAAAAGGGGTGGAAAAAGGTTGGAGAAAAAAGGAGAACAAAGATTGCATTGGCACAGTATCACTAGTCTTACCATTCCATCTCAGAGATATCATGACATTATTTTAAACATTCATCCTTAATTACTTTTTATTTGGAGCTACCTGAAACTATTGATAAAGAACAATTGTGGAATAAATGTCAGTATATGAGAGAAAAAACATGGCATGGGCGATTACTTACAATTAGTTGTAACTGCACGAGGGAGTGTGATTTCTAAATAAGCTTCACTTCAAATCCTCCAGTGGAAGTCATAAATAATGTTCCTGCATGCAGCGAGGTGCAAAAGGTGACTGAATGTTAACTGATCTTTGATCCAGATCTATGGTCCAAGTGTCACAGTCTCCCCTTTCTCTCTCTCTCAATGAAAAGGGCGTTCACTTTTCTAGGGTACAGCACATAGCTGCTGAAAATAAATAACTAAAATGACAACGGAATTAGATTTCTGACAAAATCTTCAAGACCCCATGGTGCAAATGGGAATGACGATGATGAGAATGATAGTCACTGCAGTGAGAATGAGTGCAAGCAGCTTGCAGACCTTTGCCCGGCGGAGGTCAGCCTCTTTACGCCTGAGAAGAGCATCGTAGCCAGGAGAGTAAATGTCGTCCATCCAGAACTCCATGTTGTTGGGGTTCAGGGATTCCTGGGTCTGGGGAATATTATGACGTTTAAAGATTTTTTGAGCAGATATCTATTTAGATTAAATCCTGATTCTTTGAATGATTAAAATGTGATGTGAATTGTAATTTGCTCCCAATTTTCCCTGAGCCTGCATGATGCATGTGTACAAATGAAATATATTTAATTGAGTCATTTTAAACATTGACTTTTTATAAAGTAAAGCTACACATTGAAATTCTATTTGTTTGAACAAATGTAGTGTTTTTACAGTTAACAAATCTGACCTGTAAGTCCAAAGGGGAGATCCGAGCCTCTCTGTCGTCTACAGTCCATACGGGCCTCACCCTTCCCTCAGACAGTCTGGGCTCCAGGACCTTCCCAGATGCAAGTCCTCCTGTTAGACTGCTGTCTTTGTTGCGGAACAGGGACAAATTAAACACTTGTTCCATCAGGTTGGGTTTTTTGGAGAGTAGGTGAGCTGTGCTGCCTGATTCATCTGGCTAAAAGAGAAACGGACCAAACAGAAACAAATATACAGACTGTTTACACTACATCAATTTAAACCTTTAAAGAATATGACATGTTTCTTAAAGCCCTGACAAAACAGCTCTATATCTATTATTCAATGTGTGTTATAATGTATATATTTGTGTTCAATGTGTTAGATTCTCCATTTTTACCTATATACATATTTAATGAGCATTGTTGGAGCGAGCGAGATCTTTTCATTCCCAACTAAATGTAATTGTTGACAAAAAGAACTTGTGTTCACTCACTGTAAATGTTTCAACCAACACACCACAAAGTGGCCTGATGTCAGCCTACCACACAATCACATGGGTTTACCCAGCAGACCACAGGGCCAGCTACTGGCCTAACACATTAAATGGTTGCATAGCATGGTAAGTATTGTACTATTTTTGCTTTAAAAAATGTAACACTGATTAAGGACTGATATGCATGTGCTGAAACACTGATCATTGAAAAGAAAATATAATTAAATATATGCAGTAAAATGACTCTACCTGCCCATGTGTAGCTTTGCCATCTTTACTTTTTGAAAACGACACTGTCCAGTCTCTTGCAGAGTTGGAGACTATTTGCTGTTTAGAATCAGAAACCCCCTTTTCTTCAATCTGGGTTTTGGAGGTGCGACGAGACGATGCATCCTTCTTCCCTTCTTTCCCCCCTTTTGAATCAGCCGGAACATTGCTGCTTTCTGTTTGCTCCCCTGCAGCGTTCCACCGGCTCCATTCAAGACTACTCGTGCTGATCCCGGGGAACAGATGCTCAGAGACTGACAGAGGCTGAGGATCCGATGACTCAGAAGGGGTCATAGGGTGGCTCATAAAGGAGGAGACACCACTGAGAGGCTCCAGCCATCGCCCGGTGCCTTGTCCATCAGTGATAGGCTGCTGGATTTTTTCATCCAGCCGCTGCAGTGCAGACAATACCTGCGAAATCTCAGCCTTTACATCATTCAGTGTCCCAAGTTGTCTTTCTATCTGGCTCATACGGAGCAGCAGCTTACAGACACTGGCCTTGAGCCCATCATCGCTGCTTTCAAGGGAGTGAAAAAGCCTTGATAGTTGCCCTAGGCGACCGCGTCTGGCCTCATGGGTATCCTGGTTAAGGGCACCTGGTCCATCACTGGGGTGCAGGACTCCCGTGGAACCGCACATGCTTATATCATCTAAGAAGCGAAAGATGGCGCTAATGTCATCCTCACCGAACTCTGGGTCATCTAATGAGGTCATGAAGGAGAAACGATCGGCGTGGACCAAGCTCCGGAGGCGTCGGGTGTCCGGCGGGTCTGTCTGTGTTCCCTGAGCCTTAACTCCATAGCTTCCACCTGGCAATCCACTATCCCCACTCTCACCTCCTGAGGACCCTCCTAAATTGCTCATAACAGGGGTTGAACGTCTTGGAAGTTGTCCCCCTCCAATTCCAATGCTCCCCAGGCCTATCCGATCCTCTAGACTGTGACTCTTGTTGCTCCAGTAGGGCTTTTGGGTCCTGGGAGGTTGTAGGTGCCGAGGAGACCACTCTGGGATTGGCTGGGGTCCAAAGTAAGTTGAGTCCTGTAGGTCATCGAGGCTCTCATGTTTAACGCACGGCTCTGTTGATTGGTGGACTGTTGCTGGTGATGGGTAAGGATTCGGGATTTTTTCGAAGCTCAGATTGTCAAAGCCTTTCTGTCCTGTGTTGGGACTGGGAGACTCGCTGTTAACAGTCACCTGCGGTATTAGAGGCGGCCGGTTATGGAAGTCTTTCCTAAAGATGCTTCTCTTCTGGTCGACAGACGATCCCTGTTCATCTTCAAACACTTCTATGGGCGCAGAATCTCCGCCAGACACGCTTTCTGTCTCCAAAGGTAGGAAGATATTATCCATGACCTCGTTGTAGATTTCACCACTGGGGTACAGAAGTGTGGTGTGAGGCAAGCTGAAAGACACAGCCCTCGTCCTGATTGGAGGGGAGGACAGAAGTGAGATGGGATCAGGGGGAAGACTTCCTCGCTTGTGGGCAGAGTAATTAGATCTTGGAAGCACCAAGTGCTCATCGATCGGCCTTCCACCGGAGTCAGAGTGGGCACGTGGTCTTTCTCGACCAGAAAGGTTCAGCTGTTGGATTCCAGGAAGGTTGGGGCCGGGGGACTGATCGGCGGGGAGGATCATTTGGGCTCTCATTGGTTGGCTGTCATCAGGAGCCCCTGCCGTCATTTGAATAAGATTGAATATTGTTACAATATCTGCAGCTACGCCTATGGGGGATAGCCCCTGGCCTCTGGTGGAAACCCGGTCTCTAAATAGAGTTGCCGGGAAACAGGGGTCCTGGCTGGCAGCAGCAAACAGTAAACTCCGGAGCTCAACGAGATTCTCCAGGTCAAAACGGGTGCTGACCATGCGACAAAGGTCCTGGAAGGTCAGCCATTGACGCATATTGGCTAGTTCCTCCAGGATCCCCAGAAGGACCCCAGAGTATTCCTGCTGCAGGTTAGCCATGGCTGCTCACCTAGAAAAAAAGAGGCAATTAGTGAGCCAAAGCAAGCCGATTTGTGTAGCAACCCTTCAGAACAAAGGTGTTTTAAAATGATCTACGTAACAAATAAAAAGCCATTAAGACAAGAGAGAAAAGAGAGATTTATTAAAAGTATAATATAACATAATGATGTAATTTGTATAGCATTGTATTATATAAGAAGAATAGGCCTAATGAAAAAAACAATATTGTTATACAGTATTGGATTATTATTAAAATATATATTTGGCTCTACATCATTAACAATGCTATACATGTTTATATATAAATGCATTAATAATACACCAAACGATTTCTAAAAATATATAATCTTGATTTATAGTTTCACTAATATTACGTTACATTAGTAGGCTAGCATATATTTATTTATATGAAAGTACCATAATATGTATAGTGGTAGTGGATAATTAATCAAAGTAGACTTTTCAGCTAGAAGGGAGAAAGCCCTTTAAGAGGGAATTTAGAAAGCGACCTTATTTTTGTGTCCTAAAATAACTGCTCATCTGACCAGAGGACTGTCACACTGCGCACATCTTTACCTCACTGGACATTTTTAGTCTTCTCATTTCTAGTAACGGCCTAAGGGAACACTCGTCTTTTACTGAACAAATGCGGCATATGGGAATTTAAACGTGCATTCGGTAACTTTATTTCAGACAGATTTAAAACGGTCTAAAGATGAAGGCAGGACAAGACGTTTTGTTGGAAAGCGCCCACAAATATTTACCTTTTGTGCATCCGCTGGGACACCAATGAAATGCCAGTGTTGCAAATGCAATACGGACTGCTAACATTTTACCAAAGGTGTAGCTTTAAGCAGAGGTGAGCATAGTAGTATTTTCACTCACCTGGCTCTATATATAGAGAATCAAGGTCACTCCTGCGTCCATAAGAAATGACGCAAATAGCAAGGCCATATTCCAAAACGATCCGGTGCGGCTCATACTCTCACACCCCTTTCATGGGCTTCTCAGTTTGTAGCAGCAACTAGCCCACAGCTCAGACAGGAGAGGAGAAAATTCGAAATCAGGTCATCTTCCCACAAGTCTTTGCAGTCCCCTAAGGGACATTAAAACACATCCAAACGGGTTCCCCTCAACACAGATCACTGATGACACTGGCAAAAGTTAACAGTGTAGCCACATTTCTGATTGATATCTGCCAAAAGGGAAGCACCCTGTTGGCAGGACACTCTGGTGTATGAGTGGCCCAGGTGCAGGAGCATATTTTCACAGGGTGCCATAACAATAATTGGTTGTGTGTGCAAGTAGAGCCTAGCAGTAAAGGCCAGATTAAAAATTAATGTTTGCTAATTGACACTCCAACCTGACAGCAAGCCATAAGGTCCAAGGTAAATTGTCTGCTAGATTGCTGCCTACACACAGAACTGTCTGCCAGACCTCAGCACCCTCCCCCAGACTTTTCACCATTACTCTGCATTATCATCCATAAAGGCTTGTACTTAAAACTCCATTAGAGCAAGAGAAGGGCAAGGCTTTCATCGGTGAGTAGTAGCACTCCACTACAATCAGAATGGACATCTCTAAATTATCTGACAACTGAAGAGCACATCCATCATCCTATGTACTCAGGAATCACTGGCAATCAATGAGGTGAATGAGCCGTGTTATGTGGATTTAGGTTTAAGACAATACAGTATGACTGCAGGCCTGTAGCATGGGAGTTCTGTATACAGTGGGGGAAACAAGTACGGTACATAAGATAAATAATGCATTCAAAAGATAATCTACTTTTATATTTTAGTGCATTATTTGATGGTCCATGGTACAAACAAGAATATAAACTGAGTACAAATATAGTACAGTATAGTTTTTGACATGTGTGCACACCACCAATGGACACGATTTCAGCAACAAACTTTAAGCACACTTCTAGAAACATTTCAAATTAGACTGAACATTCAATAAGGTACAAATACCTCTTGCTTAAAAGGTACTGTTGACCCCAAACATACACATTTCCCCTTTAACCTGTAGAGCTATTTATCTAAAAAGTGTTGGTATTAGTTACCTAGTAATGTCACTTCCCTTGTGGTGCTCAAAGCCCCAACAATATTTCTAGAATCATGACCCAGTTACTCAAAATAAACCACAGACTTTGTTGACCTTTATAAAAAGGGCCTATTTTTTCCTAACATACTACAAATGCCAGTCATCGTGCAGAAGAAGGTAGCAACAGAACAGTAGTGGCATTATTACCAGCTAAGAGACAAAAAAAATGACAAGACATTTACTATATGAATATGTAAAATGTTAAGGTTTCAGCTGAGATGAGATTCTCGTTCTCTTTTCTTCTTTGGTTTTGTTCTCACAGGAGCTACAACTGTTGGGGTCAGAGAAGGATTCAAGGCTGGATCTAAGGCTGGGTTCAGGGCCAGCAGGTCCAATATAGCAGCACCCTGGTAACCTGTTGAGATATGACACCATGAAGGACAGAGATATACAGCATATGAACTATCTGAGCTAAAACGGGGCTTACCAGTGTTGTCCTCTTCCCCGCTGGGTTCTGGGTCGGGACTGCGGAGAGAGACTCGGGCCAAGGCTGCCAGCTCACTTATAAAGCTCTCTTCTGCATCCTAATGGATACAAAAACAAAGTGCTTACAAACAATGATTGCAAGATCGTTAATCAAGTCATAAACCTAATGTCCGACAGGGAAGTACAGAAGAAAAGGAAACATCTTAACCATGATCTGCATTTTGATTTTTTCCATGTTCTGGTCCTGGGCTACTTTCTTCCGCCTCAGTTCCTCATATATCATTTCCTGGTCCAGATCACACTGTTCCAGCACCTTCCTTTTGTGGAGTTCAACCCTGACACACAAGAAAACAAACAATTGTATTTGTATCTGATGTATTTAAGAGTAACACAATTGTGGAGGGAAGAAGATCAGTGTTGTGTGCGGTTGTTGCACCTCTGTTGAAACTCAGCAGAGGTGGGTTTCTTGCCCCAGTTCACCAGCTCCCTCAGCAAGGATCTGCTGAGCTGACTGCTGCTCTCTTGTTGCTCTTTCACCTCTGAAGAAACAGGATCAACACACAGTCACATTTGTAACTTTTTGATCTACTCAAATGTGTATCTTCTGCTGTCTCCTTAAATTACGTTGAGTAGGCTATAAGGTTATATATAACAAGTCGAAAAGCAATCCAAATATTCCATCTTGTATTGCAAATATTTTCCTTGTGAGTGAAGTATCTACTACATGCATTTATTAAAAGATAAGGATTAAGGTTGCAGCTGTGTATGTGAGTTGTGATTGTTAATCTCACCTGGGTTGATGTTTGTCTGATCCTGCTGTAATTTGTTTATGATGTCTTGTAGGTGGGAATAGTATCTCTGGACCAGTGCAGTGAGAGAGTCTTTGGTCACATACACGCTCTCCGAGGCAGTCTCTGTCAGGTGGCGCTAAGAGGGAATAACATGTTACTCTTTTTTTTCATAAACACAGGTAAGAAAATAATATCTGACTTGGAAAACATATCTCCAGAAAAAAGTAAATAAAGTTTTATACTCATTTATTTCCCCAACCCTACCTTCAAGCCATCGTCCTGCTTCGGAGAGGCCTGCGTCTCAGAGGGCGAGTTCTCCATCATCTGTTGGATGGCGTGGCTGAGGGCGTTGCCTAGCACCAGCTGTGCATGGCTCTGTAGAAGCTCTGTCCCTGTTTCCAGTTCAGACAGGAACTCCTGCTGGAAGCTGTGGCCCACCAGCTGACTCTCTGGACCCAGATGCCTCTCTGCTAGACTGGCACTGCTATTCTGTGATTGGTAGATGCAATAAACGTGTTCAATCTGCTGTTAATCTATTACTTTAGATACATAAATGGACACATGCTGTATTTTGCAATGGTTATGAGGTGCCTTAAAGAATGTGTTCCTCTTTTTCTCCCACCTTGAGGGTTGAATTGACACAGGACTGGCTTTTACTGGGATCTTCCATCAGCACAGCTCTGAAATCAGTCTGAGACAGTGCCTTCAGCTTGGACAGCCTCATCTCCTTCAGCATGTGCAGACAGAAGTGCCTGACCACAAAGTTCCTCTGCACCGCCACCAACAGGTGCTCATGCTTCTTCTCTATCAACCTCCCCACGTAGCTGGGAAGAATATCGCATTGCATTATTTCCGAGTATCTCATAAAAATTGATTTCGATATTGTATAAGTGGATATGTCTGGGTTGTAAATCTGATTTTAGTACATCAGGAACTCTTTTACAACCTTCATACTCTAAAACTACTTTGGACAGAGGTTTTCCAATCTCACCTGTTGAGTGTGTAGCTCTGTCTGGCTACCATGGCTCTGAGGATGGTCATCTGTTGCTCACTCAGATGTTTGAGGCAGGCCTGCACCAAAGCCATCTCCTCACTCCACACCTACAGAGAAAATGCTCAGTTAGAAACAATGGAAAGCCCCTAGAAGGATTATACTTGCAATGATGTCAAGATATACAGTATGTGCACACCACCTATGGACAAACTGTGCTGCTGTCAGTAAAGCAGTAAAGGAAAGTCGATATTGGAATGGCTAATTACAAGCAAAAAGGGAGTGCCCTACATATCTTACTTTTGGGAACCATCTCAAACAATGGCTTAAGGCGAATGAAAACTGTGATCACTTATAACTTGACATGTAGTACAATGTAATCTGTCTTCTCTACTTGTGTAATGTTGATTTGTATATTCTGACATTTAATGTTTCTGTTTTTGTTATCTACCTAGGGACTACGAATGCAGGTAAGCTTTTTTTTATAACTCTAAAACAGAGTCCCTATCTTATACAATAATGAATTGTACCTAGATCTAAGAGACAGAGTTTAAAAATGAACCTGCTTATAATCATTGATGGAGAAGCTGTATGTGCACCTGTCCATCTCTCTCCAGCTGAGCCCTCATGTCCTCCAGCTGCAGCTTGGTAGTGGTCTCGGCCTGCTGCAGCTGCTCAGCCAGCTCCTGCTCCAGGTCCAACCACAGCCTCTCGCAGCGCTCAGCTGACACGTTTGACTGGGTAGCAACGGAGGTGAGAAAAATATCTTTGACTAGCTCTCCGATCTTTTTTGACCAGGAGGTACGGAGTTTCTAAAAAAACACAAAAACAAACATTAGAATAAAACAAGTAAACAAAAGAATGCACACAAAAAGAAACTGCAGTATGATTTACCTTCCAATAGTCACAGAGCGATTCAGCCACCCTGTTCTCCTGCTGCTGCTCCAAGTCAGAAATCTGCTGCCTGTGTTTCATCAGCAGCTCCAGGTACACCTGAAGGTTGAGGATCAGATTTAGATATCAGTGGGATCTACAAGCAGATCTACATAGTGAGGTGTCAGAAGGAAATGTTGGGACCTTGGTGAGCTGCTGGATGTCTCCGTGAGGCTGATCCAGTTCCAGGGCGCGGCTCTTCTCCTTGATCTGGCTCCTCAAAAGCTTCTTCCTCTTTGACTCCATTCTGCTGCACTTCTCATTCACCAGCTCCTTTGTCTTCCTCGTGCACTCTTAACATGATACCATTTTTTATTTGAACCAAACTTCTCAAAAACAATTATAGTTGATAAAGGCAGTTAAAAGACTTTGGAATAAAATATTCATAAAAACAGATTGTTCTTTTAATATGAAAGATGTTGTTAGTGACAACATACTCAATATGAACTATTACCAAAACTTGTTTATATTGTTAAATTATTTGTGATTTGTATGCCTTCCAGGACCTATTTTGTGATTTTGTATACAGTGGAAAGAAAACCCTATTTTCCTATAAAAGGTTGTTAAATGCTTATGTTTAAAAAGAATACCAATGGTTTTCCTAATGATTAAAACATGTACATATTAACAAATATATTTCCACTTACAATTTTTACTTTGAGGGTCAAACTGCCGTTAGTAGTAATAAAAGACATCAAAAATAAAAACTGAAGAGTAAAATCAATCCAGAACATAAAGTATCTCGCCTAACTAATGTAACCATTATATGCATTTTATTGCACAATAAATCAGAAACAACACAATGTCATAAGTGATATGTTGGAAGATAAAACATGAGTCTGGGCTACAAAGATAGGCATGATATGATATGCTGTCCTGGAACAACCTGGCCTTATTTAGGAGCTAAAGAGGATTCCCAGAAAAGGGTCTATTTTGAGAGTCATTTAATTTAAAAAGTAGGCTAGACATTGTCCACCGATACCTGCCAGAACTAGTTGAGTATGTTGTAAGACGTCATTTGAGTAGCTGCATTACTAACAAAATGTCTTTTTTTCAGTTTTGCATCACATTGATTTACCAACAATATGCTATCTATGAAATGCCTCCTGTCTATTGTCTTTTGACCTGACAGTACCTTGCAGTGAATTTGTTTCGATGACACTGAAACAATGTTTACTTGCATCTTACCCTCAGTGCACTGTTGAAGGCCTTCGGTCAGAGTGGCCTGAACCTCTGAAAGGATCTTTTCCATGTGGCTAAAGCTCAACATGTCATCGCTCGTCAGCTGCTCCAGTGTTGTTGCTATCAAGCCCTGCCTCAGAGACACTTCCCTCTTCAGCAAGGCAGGTTGGGATTGAATAAGCCCCGCCAGCTCCTCCCACCACATCAACTTCTGCTGGATCCTCTAAGAGAAGTGGAAAGCAACTTTCCCATTAGTATATTATGTTCCTCATATGAGGATGAGAAGCAGAATGAATGCTGTGCCAATCAATAGCTCGTATTGCATTACATTGAGATCCGCTTCTTGTGTGTTCATCAGGTGGTTCTCTACTAACAGAAGAGTCTTGATGAGAGAGAGAACCACTTCCTGTGCTTCATCTGGAGAGAACATGCTGGTCTTCTTCAGCAGATGCTGGCCCAAGTCCTCCACCTGTCTGCTGAAACCTCTGGACTGTAAAGAGACACGGACATTAGTTTTCCTATCAGAACAGTCATTGTAAATAAAGGTGGTTTACCAGACTATCTCTTTGCTTTTACCACTTGCAGGCCACGTTCAAGAAGATCTTTTTGGGCTCTCTCTATTTCCTCCAAAGTACAGGGAGCATCGTTATCTTTCTCACTGTCACTGTGGCCTTTTGGCAACTGTTTCTTTAGCTCATTCAGTTCCTGAAATGACAGATAACAAGATGTTTTATGGTGTATCTACAAAAGAAAGTATTTTAGTGTGTGTGTGTATGGATGTGTACGATACATTTGATTTGACTGTACCTTTTCTTGCATTTGAAGAATATTCTTGGAGAATTCAGCATCATTTTTGTCTTTTGGAAAGCGACTGCTGAACATTACTTTCAGCATTTGAAGAAACATCTATTTGCAGGATAAAAGAAACAAGGGAAATGTAACAACCATTTCTGCCCTTTAAACTTTTGCCTATTTAAAGAAATATGCATATCATTAGTTAACTATACTGAATCAAGTTAAAAAAATACAACTACTATCTTTTTAACTATTTTATTAAGCCAAGATGAAAAAAACTCACAAGACATTTTTCTTCCTGAAGCTGGGAGCACTGTTGTTGTATATCCTGCAGGGCCAAACAGTAAAGGCTGATCCTGCCTTCAAAACTGTAGAGATAACAAATAAATATCCTCACATACAGCCAACTTTGGTTTGTGCAAACTAAGATTTACGGTTGAGGTTCAACATTTTAAGACTCCTGGTTCCTACCCTGGTTGTGTCAGTGTCTGAGGGTAGTGAGAGACCCTGATGAAGCTCTGGTTCTGCAGACTCTTGGGGACGAGCGAGGAGGAAATAAACTGACTGCTGTTGTCGTCGTTGTCCTGCTCTTGGCTCAGAGAGTCTCCATCAGTGGAGGAGGATGAGTCGTCGTTAGGCATTGCTGGCAACTTGGAGTGCTCATGCAATGATGGATTAGACGCTCCATCTGCTAAAGGCTGACAGATCCAGTGAAAGCTTGCAGGTAAGTGTTTAAGTACAATACACAAACTAAATGACAACACAATTGTTTCTACCTTACTTAACATTGGATTACTTTACAGTTTACTACCTATCTTATGCTACCATTTATTTTAGCACACATTTTGCTTTCTTGATTTAATATAATTTAGTATACTAAAGTCACAATACAACTTATACAGTTATTTGTGCATACAAAATAAAAATAAAACGATTGACCAATTACATGAGCCTTCAGTTCATTACTTTGTGTAAGGAGCAGAAAGTGTATGTCATCATTTATGATAGACTTACTCTGTATTTTTGGTTGATGGGATAAACCACCTTTGCTCTTGATGCAAATGCAGCCACATCGCTCCTCACGGGTGGCTGCTTCTTTTCCTGGACAAAAAGTAAACAGACTTATACTGTTAGTGGGAAGTTCATTGTTAAGCATCACAAATTGGTAACCCTGAAATAAGCATTAACAGAGTCCTGTGCCACACATCACATAACATATGGCAGTCATGTTCAGGTATGTTACATCAATTTAGCAGTTTACATTTCATGTAACTAGGAGTGTACAGCTATGCAAAGTAACAGTTGAACAGGGAATAGTACTTTTTCCTTTGTGGTGCCACTTGGAACCTCCTTCCTGCTGTTGCTGATACAGTCACTTTGGTTGTTTTCTAATTCTCCATCATCAGGTTCAAGCAGCCGCCTTGCATTGTGACCCTAATGGGATGATACACGACAATATGTTACGTTCAAGGGCGTAATATGATGTATAGATGATACCTGGTAAAGAAAAAGACTGGGTGTGTAGTGCATTTGATTACTTGTCTAGTCAACAGCAAGGGCTTCAGGCAGAAGACATATAACAGAGCAGCAGCTAATATTCCCGAAAGCCCTCCACACACTGTCGCCACAGTTAACAGTCCTGTGTAGATGTGCAGCGACTCTGCGAAACTGACCAACACATTATTGCTGCATCCCGCTATCACGTTCTGCTCTGTCATCTCTCATCAAACAGGGAAAACTAATATAATGTTTGTTAGCATTTTGTCCACTTCACCCAGCTAACGTTATCAACTCATCTCGAAGAAAGTAACATCTCGCCGAAGTTTCTTGCTCAAATAAGTTTTACACATTTTTTTTCTTTTAAAAGATTTCGATTTTGAAACAAATACAACCTACACTTTGATACAAATTCTTCCAGTATAACTTATTTCCCCTAAAGACAAACTTAAATGTTGGCCAATGGTACAATGGTAACACGGAGATTTTAAGAGAAGGACAGAGCTGCGGCAGGAGGACAGGAGAGCTAGCTCACATTTGGCCGGAAAAAGATAAATTAGCCTTCAACATAAAAGCATAATAATGGCTTTTGGTAGAAAAAGCCTTTACGCAAATACAGGTTGATACTATTAATACTCACGGCGTTTAGGTGTGGTTTCTTGGCAGATTTATTTGTATATTTTATTTGTTGAAAGTTTCAGTCTCCCCACGGGCTAGCCTACGTTGTTTTATTTTGGAAAGCCTTAACCGGAAACACCAGAAATCTGTGTTCGTTGTTATTAACGGGGCATTAGAAGTTATCCGTTTTTTCCCAAATTTAGGAAATGTTTTCCGAAGTTGTGCAGCAACGGCGAATATGGACCTATTGTTGTGTAACTATTTAACAACTTTCATAGCATCTTCTGAATTATTCGCACACAAGTGAGATGTTAATGATAGTTAGACGAGCTGCTACAACTGATGTTTCTCAAGAAAAAACGGTGGAAATGTTTGCATCGCGGATTTTATCAGGGGCAACATCCAGACACCCAGCCAGCTAGCTAGCTAGCGGCTCTCCTTGGGGAGAGTGGCACACCGACTTACGAATGCTTCAGGGACACTTTACCGTGAAGAGGATCACGATATGGTCATTTGTTCTGAATATCCAAGTTGTGTGTTTGTGTCCACCTTCTCTCTTCTCCCCTTGGTGTCACGATGTAACCCGGCGTGAGAGTGTTTTGGGTTACAGTGCCAGACATCAGCTTTTAGGGTACAATACATCTAAGGAGGGATCATGGATCACAGCACAACTACCCCCTCCTTTCTCTGACAAATGGGAGGTAAGTGGCTTTATTGTGACACTATCATATTGAAATATATATATTTATTATCTGATTTTCATTAGGATTGTACCTCTTGAATCGACTGTGGATGTTGTTTCTACAGGAATACTCTGTTGCAAGTAAAAGTCCTGTATTCAAAATGTGTACTCAAGTAAAAGTACAAAAGTAGTGGCATCAAAAAGTACTCATTATGCAAATTGGCCCATTTCAGATGAATATATTATATGTTGTTTACTATAATTGCTCCAGGTGTAACTAAAGTCGTATTTAAGTGTTGTTTATATTTCTCATTATTAATCAAAATCTGCAAAGTAATTAAACGTATTAAAAATATGTAGTAAAAGGACACTATTTACCACTGAATTATAGTGGGGTAGAAGCACAAAGTAGCAGAACATTTAAATATTTCTGTACTTGGTTAGTTACTTTACACCACTGTATTATTGTGTCCCTTAACCTTAATTTAGCAATCAATATGTTGATGCAGATTATGTAATCAGCCCTATAACAGATGTTGCTTTGAGGGGTACACTTGTCCATGCATGTCATTACGCTGTCATTCATATGTTAATGAACATGTTGCATATTAAATCCACATAACTGAATGCCCCTTATCCATTGTCAGAGCCTCTCCTGTATCCATGTGATGCAACATGACCCCGGAGGGAAATCAGCAGAGCAGACATTGCTTAGGATGGATGGTTTGTTCCTTTCTCTCAATTCTATTCATCTAAAATACGGTGAAAACAAAATGTGTATAAGTGTAAATGTCATTAGTCGGTACATCTGGCCTGTGTTTCTCTAATGCTGTTCACATATGTTTTTTTTTATTGTTGCCTCTGTTTAGAGTCCTGTCTGTCTGTAACTTTGTGTGGTATTGTTACCACTGATCAGGTCTCTCTTGAGAATGAGACCCTGTGTCTCATTGAGATTTTACCTGTATAAATAAAGGCTAAATAAAAAATAGAGTTAGGTCCATAATAGCTACGTATAGGTTGAAAATGTAGTTATCTATTAGATAAAAAAACCTTTGTTTACTATGTATGAATTTACTGTATGTACGTAGCTGCTTTTAGTGATTTCTTTTTAAATGTTAGCCTTTGTAACTGGATGTTTAAAACCCCCAATATTTAACCTGACAGATGCAATGGAAATCAATGGACGCTTGGTGTCTTCTACAGAGGGGCCGCTCTCTTCTTCAGCGTCCTCTGGTCTATGGGGACGGCCTCTTTACACGCCACTCTCCTACCTGTCAAAGATCTTGCCCCTCAGGAACCGCAGAAGCACACTCACCAGATATAACTCGGGCCTCACTCTGCCTCAGGTGTGTTTCTAGGTGCTTGCATCCCTTCAGTCATTGTACACAGTCATTGAATTGCATTTTCACATATTTAGTATGCAGGGCACCATTTCATGTATTTCAGTTTGATGTCAAACCTGTAATGTGTATTGTTTTGTTGCTCAACAAGTCAGTTGTCCATCAGTCATTTCTTCCCTTTGTTTTTGCTTTTTCTCATATTGGGTTCTGACTGTTTAAAAATAAGAATTTATGAAATGCATACACATACCAGACAAACTGACATCATTGCTTAATATTACATCATTCACATATTTTGTAACTTTACTTTTCATGACACGAAGAAAAATTATTATGTTGGGAGAAACTAATCATACCTTGTGTTGAATGTTTCCGCAGATTCAGAGTGTGGCACCTCCATCCTCATATGAGGTCAAGTTTCACAAGTGTGCACAGGTACGTCACACAATTGTTTAATCCAGCCCTTTATACTATCAGAGTATCAGCATTTAATTCCCAAATATCCTACTGGACCAATTTTAAACTGCACATAAACATGTTGAAGACTGTTCAGTCACTCTCCCTGCTTGATCATGTGTCCCCCAGGTGAAGCTGGACACTGACCCTCCTCAGCTGACTTTCTTCCTGCTGATTGACAACAAGGATGGCACCGACTTGTCTCAGTTGGCTATTCGGGACTCCATCTCTGGAATAGTGCCCCTAAAATCTAAAGGCAGGGTGGTGGAAAGAGGCTACCAGGCGTTTTCCATTGATTCACTGTCTGGTATGTCTTGGAGTCAATTTCTTTTGAAAGATGATTGTATTGATTTGACCTTTTTTTTAAATGTAAAATATTTGAATTTTCTGCTTCCACAATACATAACATAAGATTGATTTGAACTTTAGCTGGGTCCAAAGTTGTTGTCAACTATACCGCTCACATAAGGAGTCATAAGACTGAAGTCCTGGACCTTCCAGCTTTTCTCACCTTCTCCAACGCCTCACAGGTATTTTTTATCTTCTACTTGTTTCTGCTCTTTCCAACACAAAAAACAATCCCCCAACTGTTTAATTTCACCATGTCAGCAACTGCCTATCACTCCTGTAAATGTTCTCTCTTCTAAACCAGAGTATTGTTTTCTTCAATCTACAGAATGATGTCAGTATGTTTGGTCCAATAAGAGCTAATCTAACGTTGAGAGTGAATTCCACCGACAGGGTAAGCTCCTTAACTGGAAACACACTTGACCGCAGCTTAAAGCATTGCATGTTTTGTTCCTGCTTTCTGATTTGTGTTTACTAAATGGATTTGATGAAAAGTCTATTTTTGCTTTCAATTTCAGATGTATCTTAACCATGGGGTCCATTTTGCTGGATTTGTTGTTGGGTTCTTTGTCACGCTGGTGCTGCTGTCGCTAGGGTTTCTGGTCATGAACCTGATCGGCCTCAGATCCAGGCTGAACCTTCTCCGACAAAGGGTATCACAAATGTTATTTCTAATCCTAATAACTGCTAATTAAACCTAAGTACCTTGTTAATTACGTATGCTATATTGTTGCGTTTGTACATTTCAAAAAGGTGTTGTGATGTGTCTATTAAAAGGATTTCTTTTGTTGACAATTTTGTTTCGTTGACCAATTTTTTCAACATAATGTCTAATTATAGTTAACTGTTTTGTCAAATTAACTTCAGTATATGTTGCTCATTTTTCAAAGTTTTATGAATTACGTCAGTCATTTGTTAATATATTGCATATATCATCTTACTTTAGAGAAACAGGCGTGATTCTGTCCCAGAGTATGCACACTGCAACATGAGTGAGACCATAAAAGATGAGGCCGCATTTGAAGACAAGATGGTGGACACGATGGTGCTGGAAGATCCCCAGAACATGTACCAGGCTTTGGAGAAGTGAGTAAACTAACAAGGAGGGAATTTACCATCTTTTCATTGTGCTTGAGACCCTATAATGGATCTAAAAAGAACAACATTATCGGCAAGTGAAATAAATGGGACACTCACTGCTTGAAAACAGGATATTATGTATTAAACGGATGTTGGGAGTTTTCTACTTTATGTTATTCATTAAGTAAAAATTGTAAGTTGAAATTGGATTCATTAAGTAAAAAAAATAATTACATTAATGCAGTTATTTTACTTGCCTTTTACATACAATGAGTTGTGATGGTGTTGCTTAGAAGAAACTGTACTTGTGCTTTATAAGGCTTTGCAATAAGCTACTTTTTCACCTAAACCAGTAATCGTAATAACATTTGATTCTCTCACATATTATGCTTTCTAATACAACATTTTTAATGTCTTTCTTACCTATCAGCTCCACTGATACAATGAGCCTTTAATGATGCATCCCACTTAAATCCCATCAAGTTTACTCTGCATTTTATCCCGTTTTAGCCTTGAAATGTCCACGCTGCTGCATGCCACCAAAAACCTGGAGGCCACCCGGATTCAGATCTACAAGGACGTGATGTCTTCCCTGCTGGGCGACCTGCGCTCCCGGGGCCATACCAGCGCCCAGGCCCAGCAGAGGCTTCTGAGTGTGCTCCACGGACAGATGTTGGGTATGGAGGGCCGGCTGAAGGAGGAGCGAGGGGCCCGCCTGGCAGCTCTGAATGGCCGGTGTAACCTGGAGAGTCGGGAAGAAATGGAAGCAGAGCATCGCAGAGAGGCTGCTGAGAAGAACCAGGCCGAGCTGCTGTGTCAACATGCAGACCAACAGGTGAGTCAAAAGTGGTTTGGTAGGGAAATAACATTCATGTTTAATTTGATTGAATATGAAGGAATCCTGTGTATAACTTTAATCACTGTTACTTAAAGAGGGCTTTCTGAACCGGGCAAAGCTAGCTGGTGGGTTTGCTGTCCTGGCTCCAGGATGGTGGAATGAGCTCCCCATTGACATCAGGACGGCAGATAGCTTGCACATCTTCCGGCGCAAACTGAAAACTCATCTCTTTCGACTCCACTTCGAGCGATAGAACTATTAACGAAGCACTTTTATACTAATAAAGGACTGGCTTATCTAAAGCCAGTTGAGTAGCACTTGAAATGTTTTTGCTCTATGAAGCCTGATGTACTTATATGATTCTGTTTTCTTCAAGTTGTATTTTGTTGGTCGAACGCACTTATTGTAAGTCGCTTTGGATAAAAGCGTCAGCTAAATGCAATGTAATGTAATGTAATGTTATGGCTGCCGGATCTGGCACCCCCTCATTTTGGCCTGGACGGTCATAATCTCACCAGAATCACACTGGTGTTACTTTATCCCCTCTAGTTTTAGAAAACAAAAGTATTTAACTCTGGATTCATGGTGTATAAAATGGCCGTCTGTGTAGTTTATTTATGGCATCCCGTTGGGTTTGACGTCATCTGAACAGGACATCGCACGCTCACTGCTTGATAGCGCGCGAAGGCCCGTTTATGCCGGTTGTTAAACAACATTGTTATGGGGAAATGCAAGTTTGCGTCCAAATGGTTGGAAGATAAGGAGGAAGGACAATCAATACTGTATAGTCAATGTGAGGTAAAGTGTGTCGCCAATGTAACCGGTTAAAACTCGAAGTGGCGATGAGGTCTTAAAACGTATGGAAAGGGTCTTAAAAGGTATTACATTTGACTTCAGGATTCCTGCATATACCCTGTGGTGTTGTGGCTGCCGGATTTGGCACCCCCTCTGTAACTTTGGCCAGGATGGTCTTAATCCCACCAAATCCACACTCTAGTTTACTCGAACAAAAGCAATTTATTCTGAGCCCATCAGGTGAAATATTAACTGTAAACCTCTTTCTGTAATGTAACTAGGAGCTCCTGCACTGCAGTGTCCTCCTGGAGAAGCTGCACAAGCTGAGTCAGAGTCAGCTCCAGCGCATCCTGTTGGTCCGTCATGAGGAAGCCTCTGGGAAGCTCCAGAGGCAGATCATCGAGTGGCGCCGGGTGGAGCTGCACAAGATTTTCTCAGAGGAACTGGAGGAGGCCACCAGGATGGGGGAGCTGGAGAAGAGCACGGCCAAGAGTCTTCAGCACGATTACTTCGCCTGTCAAGTAAGCAACCACAATGTTTTTCAAAATATTAGAATTGACCTTTTGATTGACATAATTATGTTGGTTTAGTTTGAGCTTTAGACATTCAAAATCAATTCCTGTAAACATGGCAAACAAACCATGGTGAAGAACTTTTGCCATTTTAGATTGTCCTTATTCTTTGCTTCCTTTCAGCCGTATAATTAAAACGCATAATGAGACATATCCTTACTTTGTTTTTCTTTCTCAGGATCAGCTTGAGGAGATGCTGGATGTGGTCCTTGCCAACCACCGCTTTGTGCTTGCTGAACGCAACGCTCAGAGGAGGTTCTTGGTGCACAGCCTTCACAGCCTCAACAGCCTGATTTCTGACAGCTTCTCCAGCACCTCCAGCAACCTGGACCGCTGGTTCACTCACATCAGGAGGTCGGTGCCCATATTGGTTAGAAGTGATGATCATTTCACAAAGCTAAATTATAAATCTGGCCAAATAAAATATAAACGCAACACTTTTGTTTTTGCTCCCATTTTTCATGAGATGATCTCAAAGATCTAAAACATTTTCTATATACACAAAATAACCATTTCTCTCAAATCTGAAAAAATCTGTGATAGTGAGCACTTCTCCTTTGCCGAGATAATCCATCCCACCTCACAGGTGTGGCATATCAAGATGCTGATTAGACAGCATGATTATTGCACAGGTGTGCCTTAGGCTGGCCACAATAAAAGGCCACTCTGAAACGTGCAGTTTTGCTTTATTGGGGGGGTCTGGGGGGGTCCGAAAACCAGTCAGTATCTGGTGTGACCACCATTTGCCTCACGCAGTGCAACACATCTCCTTCGCATAGAGTTGATCAAGTTGTTGATTGTGGCCTGTGGAATGTTGGTCCACTCCTCTTCAATGGCTGTGCGAAGTTGCTGGATATTGGCAGGAACTGGAACACGCTGTCGTATACGCCGATCCAGAGCATCCCGAACATGCTCAATGGGTGACATGTCCGGTGAGTATGCTGGCCATGCAAGAACTGGGATGTTTTCAGCCTCCAGGAATTGTGTACAGATCCTTGCAACATGGGGCCGTGCATTATCATGCTGCAACATGAGGTGATGGTCGTGGATGAATGGCACAACAATGGGCCTCAGGATCTCGTCACGGTATCTCTGTGCATTCACAATGCCATCAATAAAATGCACCTGTGTTCGTCGTCCATAACATACGCCTGCCCATACCATAACCCCACCACCACCATGGGCCACTCGATTCACAACATTGACATCAGAAAACCGCTCACCCACACGACGCCACACACGCTGTCTGCCATCTGCCCTGAACAGTGAACACCGGGATTAATCCGTAAAGAGAACACCTCTCCAACGTGCCAGACGCCATCGAATGTGAGCATTTGCCCACTCAAGTCGGTTACGACGACGAACCGGAGTCAGGTCGAGACCCCGATGAGGACGACGAGCATGCAGAATCAGATGAGCTTCCCTGAGACGGTTTCTGACAGTTTGTGCAGAAATTCTTTGGCTATGCAAACCGATTGTTGCATCAGCTGTCCGAGTGGCTGGTCTCAGACGATCTTGGAGGTGAACATGCTGGATGTGGAGGTCCTGGGCTGGTGTGGTTATACGTGGTCTGCGGTTGTGAGGCCGGTTGGATGTACTGCCAAATTCTCTGAAACGCCTTTGGAGACGGCTTATGGTAGAGAAATGAACATTCAATTCACGGGCAACAGCTCTGGTGGACATTCCTGCTGTCAGCATGCCAATTGCACGCTCCCTCAACACTTGCGACATCTGTGGCATTGTGCTGTGTGATAAAACGGAACATTTTAGAGTGGCCTTTTATTGTGGCCAGCCTAAGGCACACCTGTGCAATAATCATGCTGTCTAATCAGCATCTTGATATGCCACACCTGTGAGGTGGGATGGATTATCTCGGCAAAGGAGAAGTGCTCACTATCACAGATTTTTTCAGATTTGTGAACAATATTTGAGAGAAATGGTTATTTTGTGTATATAGAAAATGTTTTAGATCTTTGAGTTCATCTCATGAAAAATGGGAGCAGTGTTGCATTTATATTTTTGTTCAGTGTATATAATAGAAAATATATTTTGGTGAACACACTTGCAAGACAACATTTGATGAGTACGCTTGTCTGAAGGTTATTTTATTGGCTTATTGCTTTTATTTATAGTACAGATAATAGACTGGAAATGGGGAGATGCAGCAGGTAGGATTCACCCTTTTTTAACCCGGCATGCTTTCCTCTCTCCACCAGAGGGAGCCTCGTGTCTGCCGAGCAGATCGATCAGCTGCAGGAGAAAACACAGAAAGAGCTGCTGATGGTGAGGCAGAGACTGGATGAGTCTCTGAGCCAAGAGACGGGGGCCATGCGCTGTGGACTGATCAAGAAGAGGCGGGATCTCATCTCTGACATGGTGAGGAGAACATGCATTTGTTGGATTTTTAAGCAAACACCCTATTTGATACCTCAAAACCTGTTCATTGCATACTTTCTTCAATCCTGCTCCCTGCTCTCTGCAGCTCCGGGTCCACAAACAGAGACAGAAGGACCTGTCGGGGCTGTCCAAGGGTCTGGAGGGACGGATAGATGTAGCTCAGCACCTGCAATGTTGGAGGAACTTACTAACAGCTCACAGTTTGGAGCTAGCTGAGCTCATCAACAACCTGGATGAAGAGGCTGCTGCAGACATCCGCAAGGTGCCAATCTAACATTTCACATTCACAACCTTATCACTGAAAGATACAAAAGAAAGACATATGAACACGCCACTTAGTTTGATTTACTCTCTGTCTTGATCCGCGACCTGTTCTCTAGGTGACCATGCGTGTGATCCAGGGTGCCATAACAGAACTCAAAGCCATCCAGCCCTCGGCAGCCCAGGCCCTGCTGACACTCTTGCCTCCAGGGGCCCAGCGCTCCCTGCTCCAGCTGGACCCGGAGCCGGGGGGGCCAGGGACTGCTCAGGGGCCAGGGGCGAGCGCTCTCCCCCAGGGCCAGGAGAGGCTGCACCAGGAAGGAAAGGCAGCGCTGCGCACCCTCAGCTGCAGCAGGGAGGCTCTGAGGGGAGCCATGGAGAGAGAACTGCAGGAGCAGAGAGAGCTCCGGGCGCGCTGCAGAGCGTTCTTCAGGTCAGTGATGGCATTACAGTGCTCAATACAATCGTTATTTGGGTGTTTTCCTATTGGCTGTGGAGTTCCGGGAGTAGTTTATATAGAATGGAGACATAAATTAGCACTTTCTGGATAATATGACAGTCTTTAGACGATTTAAGGAATCAGATTATGGTTGTCTCTACAGCAAAAGGTTTAATATACAAGACTGGATTCCAATTCAAAGGCTTTATTCCTATTTCCACAGTAGCTACAGCATGGTTTTGGAAATGCAAATCTTAAGTCCCAGGCTATAGCATCTTTAACAAACAATAGTTAAACCATATTGGAATGATGTTATCCTCCTCTCAACACAACCACGTTGTCTCATGATCCTTCTTCTTATTTCCTTCTCTCCCAGTTGTTTGTGTTCGTCCCAGCTGACTCTGTCTGAAGATGACCGGCTGAGGATGAAACTAGAGTTTCAGAAGTGTCTGTCTGTGATGGACCGCTGCCTGGTGCTGCCCCACGCCGTCTCCAGAACCAAACTTCACAACGCTCTAGCAGCTTGGAGAAAGGACAGCGAGCAACAAATGGTGAACACATACAATCACACATATCTGAATGAAGCTGTTGTGTTCCCAAAACCTGTGTGTGGTTTAGAACGTTTCTGACTTTGGCTAGTGCTATTGGTAATAGCCACTAAAATGTAACATTTGCTACACTTCTTTTGGTGTATAGTATTTCCATCAACAAGGGCTCATTGTATCCAATATATTTGATTGACATTTCTGGTGGAACACTGCTAATGCTATTGAAGTGAAACATCTTAAGTATGAGTCTTGGTCCAAATTGTAAAGTAAATTCCCCTTTTATAGTTTGGCGCTGACATTTTAAAATGATAAACATATTAGTATAAAGCCATTGTTAGACAAAAGGAACAAAAGAGACATTGATCTAAACCACAAATCCCTTTAACAGTGTATTTATATTTTATTTTTACACACAAATTGTGACAAGAACAAGCAAAAAATCCCCATTTTCACTATACACATATTATATGTTTGCACTATAATTAAGCATTATAGCTCAATTATAAAGATTAAAATGTGATTGTCTTATAATGTGTCCTTCTCCTGGGAAAGCATCTCTATGCCCACCTCTTTTACTCTGTGCTAACTTATGGCCTTTGTTTTACATTTCATCATGAAACGATTCTAAAGCCCAGATGTAGTCAACTACAGCAGCTGCAGGATATAGCGGTGCATTTAATGTTTTCAAATAAGTATGAAATGGAGAATGGCGACCGGCAGTGAAAACCACGCTACCATCAGCCTCAATTGTGTGGCCGCTGGATGGGTGCATTGTAATTTCGAAATAATACGGGCTCCGCAGAGTGGTTTGATTTCTAATTGCATCATATCGGCATGTTTGGAGTAATTTTCGGTTCCAAAACAACTTATGGATATTGTGGTTTCTGCAGACAAATATGCAATCCAAGGGGAAAACCAACGATGCCAGACCAAAAGCAGACACCTCTGACCTGCTGCTTTTCCAGAGAAGGCTGGAGGACAGGATCCAACTGTGTGAGAAGGAGAAGGAGACGGAGAGAGGCCTCATGGATGGGGTAAGGCTGTGAAATGACCTTTTACTATAAGTTATTGTTAAGTCTAGTAAGTTACTGAAAGAAGAGAATGGTGGGTGTAATACAGCTGGGGGGGGGGTCATTCATTTTAAACATCATCCTTATCAAGATTGTGATCACGATGCTTTGATATTGAGGCGATTTTATGAGAATAATAAAATGCTGTGATAAGAGGCTCTAGCTAGCTACAATATTGGTCGCAAATCTTTGGTCACGGTTAGCAGGACGCTAAATTATTAGAAACATTTTCTTGTCAGATTTATTCTTTTGTCAAGCATAAAGCCATCTTTCTTTTTGGGTTGCTTTGTAGTGACGGCTGTAGAAATAGAAATGTCTGATTTAGTATATTCAGCAGTTTAATCAGGCTTTTACCGTTGAAGGGACAAACACACCTCCATTTGTAAAACAGATGATAAAAATCTGATTAGTCTCCAAGAAGAGGTTCATCAGTCACATTTTCTAGTATTTGTGAATAATGTCACCTAAAATAAACGACTTAGCTTTAAACAATAATAAACCCTAAGATAATTGGTAGCAGCAAATCTGTTCCTTGAAGTTAATGACAATCTGTGTTGATCCTATATGCCTATCCTGCACACAAGGTGGGTGGTAAGTTTATAACAGATGACTGAAATACATTAATTCTAATTTTGCCAGGTGACAGTGGAGATGCGTAAAGAGAGAGAGGATGACCTGCGCTCTCAGGGCGACAGCTTGGCGATGCAGATGGCTACCATCCACTACCAGAAGGCTGAGCGGAGGACCAAGGTCCTGGAAACCTCCAGAGCAATGCTCACTCTGCACAGCCTGCTGATACAGCAGCTCAGAGACAGGAAGAGCCTGGAGAGACAAGACATGGCCCAGAGTATAAACAACCACTGCATGGCAAGTCAACCTCTGTGGTGTAGCATTGCATCTTGGGTGGGACGCTCATGGAGATGTAAAGGGTTCAAATGAATGTGTAATGTTGAGACTGTAACGTTCTCATTATAGACCTTAATTAGTGTAATTTGACCCTTGCTACAGGGCCTGGAGGAAGCAGAACAGCAGCTTCAAAAGGAAGTAAAGGTGCTGGACGGCCTGCAAATGTCTCCCTCCAGAGTCCCAACGCAGAGAGAAGACCCTGATGAGGGAGAGGGGGAAAGTGAGGAGGAGAGAATGTTTCAAGTGCAGCGGGATTGCAGGATGACGTTCATCCTCCAGGGGGCGCTGTACAAAAGCGATCAGGTCCTCGCACTGTTGGCTGAGAGGTGAGCTGTCATGTCAGAGTTATCTCAAGAGAAATAAGGAATTTCGTGGGTTGACACAGGCAGTTCATTCTCAGTGTTGAAACTCTCTGGTGATTTCAGATTGCAGGAAATGACTGGCAACAACCAAGCCATGGAAGATTTAAAAGAGCAAATGGAGCTCAGGAGACTTTATGCAAACTGTGATCAGGTCTGAATTGATTTGTTACATTTTTTTTTGTGCCAATGTTATATGCAACAAAAAAATCAACAGCATGGAAAAACCCAGGGATACACTAACTTCTGTGTGCAGGTCAAAGGAAGGAGAGGGGAAAGTGTATTTAATGTGGCTCTGTGCCGTGCTCCTCTTCCTCTCAGGATCTAGAGTTTGCATCGGGGCTGGTTCGGCAGAGTCAGGTGTCTGCGGAGGTTCTCCTGGAGGCCCTGCGCCTCCTCCTGCCCACCCTGCCTGAGAGCGAACTCCTCTCCATCACCGACGCCCTCTGCCCCAAACAGCACCCGGGCTCATCTTCTGCAGAGCAGGAACACTCGGGGTAAGGAGCAGGTCAAGGATCTGTCTGCTGGCAAACATTCTGCTCATTTATATTGTGCAGGGTCAACAGGGTTAATGTGCTTGACTTATGAGATGTGAATGATAGTTATCTTAAGCCTTAGGGGAGAAGTTGTGTTGATCGTGTGCATGAAATGTGCGTCTGTCCACCGCAAATCTTGGATATTACTGGGGCCTAAAATATTTGATGGGCTTATTTATAACTGTGATCCACAATTTTTTTAAACAATATTTTATTAGCTGTTTTATATTGTCATTGTCTGACTTCTCACTACTTTTAACCAGCTAAAGTGATCAACAAACTGCTTCCGAAGCAAAAGGCATTTCCTGCAATGGGCTAGGCTAAAAACAAGCCCAATCTAGTCTTTTGAGGGGATGCATTTTGGCCTTTGATTGCTCAAAATCTGACATCCATACAAAAGTGTGGTCTCATTTTGAACAGAAGCATCGGCCCATTAATTTCTTTCCCAGTATGTTATGATCCACTAAAGTCGGCAGGATATGAGAATAATAAATCCCTTTTTTGGTTATCTTGGGGGCCATCATGACTGCAACGGAGCTGGGTGGGACGATTGAGTGAGATTCAACTCTGTTTGGGAGGAGTGAGGGATATCTAAGAGTTTAGTCACAAACTAATGTGTGTAAATCTTGCACTACTCCATGATGTGTTTTCTCCCCCCTCCTTTTTACAGGGAAAAGGAATAGAATAAATTGAATCAAATAGTTCCAACAATAGTGAATATCCCTTTTCCATAAGTACACAATCATAGTCTCAGAGATTCCAATTCTGTGCTTTAGAAAAAGTTTGAGTAAAGTCAGTTATTAAATAAAAGCAGCGTTTAAACAGGCTGGCCGAAACCAATCCATCTCTAAGCATTGTTTCAAATGTGAAAACGATGTGCAAACTGATCAGCAAGGGTCACTTTCTCTGATCCAACATTGTTGAGATAAATGATTAAACTCATCATTCAATATAACTGTCTTCCTGATTCACTGGGTCACTCATGTCGGCCTCCGCTGCGTTTGGATTACTTTCCTGATGAATAATGCATGCCCGGTGCAGTGGGAGGGGCCAAGCCCTCCCATTTGACATTCCTGCCCTCCCCCAATAAACACGTTTTTTTAATTATTTATAATATTTAAAAAATATATATATATTATTTTTTTTAAATTATAAATAAACTGTGAACTTTTATGCTACGATGTATGTGATGTCAGATAGTAACAAAACAAAAATCGCGGGCTACGGCAAATAAATGCATGTGTCTGATTCGTCCACATTTAGACCAATCACAGCGTCACACTCTGCCGCCTATTCTGGATTTGTTTATTGTTTATTGTGCATTCTGTAGACTCCCATTTCGGTTTGAATTACAAAATGGACATCAGAAATTGGCTTAAAAGGATTTATTAAAACGAAATAGCGATGAAAGAACTGCAGCCGATGGTGCTGCTGGCGACCCTGCACCTGCCGTTGCAGCAACACTGGATCGTTATCAGGGAAATTGTTTTCAGGAAAGAAGCGCACTTTTGCCGCCGCATGGTTCAACAACAGACCGGCTTGAATATTCGTTAAAAGCAGACGCAGCCTTTTGTTTCCCCTGTAGACAGTTTAAAGTAAATACGTCTTCATCTGATGCGGCTTTTACTGTCAAAGGTTTTTGCGACTGGAAACACGCATTACAGACTGATAAAGGACTGCTAAAGCATTAAAAGAACACATTTCATGTGAGAGTTTGTGGAGAGAGAGACAGATACGCGAGGAAACAAATAAGGAAATTAGTACTTTGGTGCGCACAGATCAGCTGGCACGGAACGTGTCCTCTCAGGGGTGACCACGATTCACTCCACAGCATGTCCGAGTTACGGTGTGTCCACACAGCAGCTTTGACCAAATCTTGAAAATCCTGGAGCTGGGCTTGTCTGACAGCTTGGGGATTTCGCGACCAACAACCAATCACATGAATATCACATGAATATCCCGCCCCCGACATACAAAGCAAAAAAACCCGGTTCTTCTACACTATTGTCAAATAGGAAGGGCTATGATGAACATTTATTTTTTTAACATTTTGAACATTTATGAGATTAATGTTTATGGTGCTATTTTATGCTACATTCCATGTTGGCTAATGATACTGTCTATGCTTGCTAGCAACGAAGTAAACTAGCAACGAAGTAAACTGGATATAAAACCCCCAAACGAGGGAAAACCTACCAGTTTCCCCCACAGCCTCTGCCACCTCCCCCCATGCCTGGTTCCTCCGGTTTGTATCCCGGTAAGTAAATAGGGACTGGTCATAAAGAACCGGGTGATTTGCTACCGCAATAACTAAGTTCTCCTCCATTTTTGTGGAATATAGAAATGAACTGCGGGTCTCGTTCTCCCAGCTTGCACGCGGTTTGATTGGCTAGCGCTTGAACTGTCAGATTTGCATAAACGGATCTGATTGGCTGTCGCTTCCAGCTCAGCCTCAAAAGTTGAACAATGTTCAACTTTGGAATCCTGAACATCCTGGAAATCCTGGAAATCTTCGCCCTCGCCCCCCCACAATGCAGTTCGGCGACAAGCGAGGGAAAGTGACGTCATCCCCATTCAAAGTCAATGGGCGGAGACGCGCTGGAAGCGGTGGACAAATCGCCAAAAGCTGCTGTGTGGACGGGCCGTCACTCTCTACCGATCGATCGGTGCTCTCTAAACACGCCGATCGCGAGAGCCGATCGCATGACGTAAAATACATGACACTTTTCTCTGTGCGGCAAAACAAGCTCGCCAAAATGGCTTCACCGGTCTGGCATTATTTTAAGGTGTCCGAAAAAGACAGTAAAATAGCGTTATGCAACGTGTGTGAAGCAGAAATCCTGCAGCTCCGCCCGCCGGACCGGTAAGCGCAGCGAAACACACACACAGGGAGAACCAGACCGCAGTTCATTTCCTCATATTCCAAACGAGAAATTACGGTAGCAAATCACCCGGTTCTTTACGACCAGAACTATTAACGGGATACAAACCGGAGGAACAAGGCATGGAGGGAGGTGGCAGAGACAGTGGGTGAAACTGGTAAGTTTTCGCCTGTTTGGGGAGTTTATATATATATATATATTGCTCGCATAAAATCCCCGGGGTTTTTTGCTTTGCATGTCGGGGGCGGGAGATTCATGTGATTGGTTGTTGGTCGCGTTGCTCGCAAAAAATCCCCACGCTTTCAGACACGCCCAGCTCCAAGATTTTCAAGATTTTTGAAAAGCTGCTGTGTGGACGTACCGTGAGTATCGGCCGATATCGATCGGTGACCGATCGATGGGAGCATCCCTAGTATTTGCGATAAGTGTGCGTCTTTACGCAATACTGTTGGCCTTGCTGTTTGATATATATTGTGCCGCAGGCCCGCAGCACATGACGGTTTTGTGTGCCCTCCCATGAAAATCATATGCCCTCCCTTTAGATTTGTTCATGGCGCCGGGTCTGAATAATGTCTCATGCATGAGGATCGGAGTGGTCTGGCCAAAGGACAAGAGGATGAACAATAGGTCTTTTGTATCTGCTTTTTGTTGGCAGGATAGAGTTTAATGGTTCTTTACAACTGTTTGAAATCATGCTAATGGCAAACAGGGAAACAGTTATGTGTCTGTTTCTGCAGAAACAAGTCCTTCTCCCTTTTTTATTTCCTTTGACTCAACATCTATCCCCAATAAGCTCCCCCATTCAAATGGCTGACATATCTGTCTTGCTATGGCCGTACTTGTTCAACTTTACCAAGCACATTTTTTACATAAAAGTAATAACTCCCAAATGACCCATCACAATCATTTAAAATGTGTCATTGCTTTCAGATGTTTGTCTGCAGCATCTGTTTAATATCTAGTCAAACGCCATAACCATATAATCATTGGATTGTCCTCTATTAGCTCGATTGATGACTAAAAATGTACTTATCAATGTTGCTTTAATGAGCATTGTAATCAGGTGATAGATGCTGTACTTTTACAGCAAGTCCTAGAATTTCACAGAAATGCTAATGCATTATGATTCGCTGTTTACCTCTTTTTGGATTCAATCTGCAATATTAAATCCTCTAATGAAGAATGGCCTTGTGACACTTTACAGTTAGAATGATCCGTGCTTATTAAAGAATTTGACAGGCTTCACATGATGTACCCTGCTATGAAAGAGATAAAATATGTTATCTTTTAATTTAATGGAAAAGATCACAGAGCTCTGCCTCCAAGCCAATAAGAAGTTATTACACCGTATCAGAATTTCTTATCAAAGCCGAACATTGTCTGCAGAGATCGTATCGCAGTTACGGGTTTTATAATATATTGATGACTTCTTGACCAGGTGTGCCGGGGGGGGTGAACAGAGTTCTTCCTGTCAAACTGAGGGAAGAAGTGGTGCATACAAATATGCCAACTATGCCAAGCTGCACTGTGGAAAGAGAGAGGTGAGTTCAACTCATGTTTTGCTACCAGCTGTTATATAAAGACTTTATTTAACAACATCATTAGGACTCATTTTTTAGTTCAGTGATCAGCCACATCATAAAATATCCTTTATTGATGTATCATGTGCCTTCGCTCAGTTACATGGCTGTGCTGCAGTGACCACATGCATGAGGTAAGCACTTCAACACTCCCACTCACAACAGCTCCTTTGTCCTCCAAATGTTCACAGACTCCTGGAAAAGAGGCAAAGTTTGATGGAAAAACTGCTCCCCAGATCTCCTCTCCTGGCTCCAAGAGATGTTGCACCACTGTTGGTTGGAGAGGAAGGAAAGGAGGACACTCGTACTAAAGCACAACGTCCAATTGATAAATCAACCGTGACGGAAAACACAGTTAGTAAGCCGCTAACTGACACTGCAAAAGAAACATTACAAAGCACAGCAGAGGAATACTTGATGCCAGCGTCTGCCAGCTCAGTGCTGGGCGTCCACGCTACAGGAGAGAGGCTGTTTGTGTTCAGGGACCCGCCTGAACCATGTGACATTGTAGGGGCTCCTAAAAGAAAAGAAAAGGAACTTTCTCAATCTGAAGAAGGCTCGGTGGCTCCGACACACCTACCTTGAGTCTGAAAAACATTGTCGTCCACAAGATTTTCTATGATGATGGTACTATATCATGGTGTATAATACTGAAATCTCAAATAAATCAATAGTTGTGCTGTTTAGCTAAACTTTCTCTGTGCCTTTTTAGAAATGTTCGTTGCATGGTGGTTGTGGTTGAACAGTTTATTATTACCTCAGCCAAAGAAGTTGTGTTTTAGTTTTTTTACTGGCAGCAGGATGATGATAAATCTACTGCCCAAATGTTAACGAAACTTGATGGCCGCTTGTAGCATATGGCTGAGGAAAAACCTATTACATTTTGGAAGGGATTTGTCTATAGGTGTATTTCTGCTTTGCCAAATTACCCTTCTGGATTTTACATTATGTTTGTATACAGATTACAATTGTATCTTGAATGGACATCTTTTAAGTTGTCCACAAAAGTTCGGACTCTTTTTACTGAAAAGGTTACAGTATATGAATGTGTTTTCATAGTATTAATGTGTACTGTATTCACATTAAAAAGTGTTTTTATTGGTGTTCAAAACTCCAGATATCAGACACTTTTTCTGGTTTGAAGTGAGAATTGTTTGATTCAAGATGTACAGAATAATTAAATGTATCCAAATTCCAAGTTATTTCATGTGCAACAGCTTCAATGCATTTTTTTTATTTTAAATAAACACGTGTATCTTCCTCTTAATGACCTTTACAACACAAATCAAGGCTGGAGATTCATCCTTTATTTTGACATGTTGTCGAAGTTGTTGACCCCAAGTGATTATTAAAAGCTGTCATTAATATCGTGATTCTAGGGAATTTGTGGCTGTTTATCAGCAGGAGAGACTCAATCATCCGTGGTATTTGGAGCGTGCATGAACACAGCAGACCCCCAAATGTTTTCCTCGTTGCGCGTCATCGGCCATCGCTTTTTTTCCCTCCACCACTCCATCCTTAAAACTGCTGCAGGTCCTCCTCTTGACTATTTGAAAGCCGGTTCCCTGTGACACAGTTTACAGCAGCAGCGTTATCATCCGACATGAGGCTGGGACTCGCCACCCTTGTGTGTTTCTTCAGCTCGGTGTGGCTGACGGAGTGCGCGCCGCCGACCTGCTACTCCCGAGCGCTCGGCCTCGGCAAAGAAGTCATGACTCTGCTGGATAAGATTCACACGTACCATCGCACGGTAGGAGATTTGACACATTCTGCCGACGAGGCTTTGCAGACTGGTAGGACGTGTTATGTTCAATAATGATCCTGTTTGTTGGGTTGCAGAAAACGTGTGCTGAGATTCTACCCACGATCTTCATTGATGTGCACGTAAGTTATAAACAATGTTGGGACCTATGGTTGCGACACATGGAGGGTTAAAGCGGTTCGTATGAAACTGAGTGTTTTGCTTGACACTTGTTTTGTATTAAAACATGTAATACATAGTCAACAGGATGGGTGACACAATCCCTGTGAGATAAGAGCTGTAGCTGCCACAGCGTGCAAGGGGCTCATTACATTCAAGGTAGATCTGCAACGTTCGGTTAATCGACTAATATATTAGTCAATATAAAAGATTAATCATTAACCTTTCTGATAATCGATTAATCACCCAAGTCATTTGTCATTCAAAAATGGCCACATTTTTTTTTTTTTCAATCACTCAAATATGGAAATTACATTTTCTTTCTTAGTTTCATATCATGTATAAAGTGAATATACAGTGTGTGGGTATTGGACAGACATGTTTAAAACCATCACAGTTAACTTTTACTGGGACAATTTTGAATAATATTTCATTATTATTATTATAAAAATAATCGTTAGTTGGAGCCCTGACAAAATGCTATCTGATATGGATCCTTGGCCCTTTGTTTGCTTGTTTAGGTGTTTATAAAACAGTACTTGAGATTCCAAAAAAGTGTACGGTCTGTTGTGCAAAACCTAAAGCTCTGATAAGAGTAAACATTATTCACTAGAACATGTGTCTGTAGCCGAAGAGAGCACTGTTTGTTTTTAAACTGCTGGTTTATCTTTCTAGAACTCATGCATCACAACCAAGCTTCGTGATTTTCTCTACGTGGTGCTGAACCATCCAAACCCATACTGCAGAGAGCGTCCCAGGATGGTTCTGCTGAAACGTAAAATCGAGAGCTTGTCCAACATCATCACCAGAATCTGTTGGCGGGTGAGAGCATCTGAAGCGCCCTGCAGTATTTTTGACCTTAACATTCTTTGTTTCCAGGTCTGTCTAGATCTCATGTTTTCATTTTGTTGGCAGGACTTGGTGTTTTTCACAGATGACTGTGAGGGTATTGACACTGGACACAGTCGCCCTTACTATGCAGAGGACCGGCTGCAGCTACTGCAGGAGGAGAGATGAGCAGTATGTTCCATTCCTAAAAACACCTCAGCAATATAATAACACATGTACAATACACACTGCAGCCCGCATGCATCATTAACAATACATTCCGTGCTGTTTCACGTTGTACCTAGTTGGCTCGTAGCTGCAGACCCATGTTAGTGGACATGTGTGGCTGCATTCCAGCAAGGAGTGCAGGACTTTCCACAGGAAATGTGCTGAATGCCAACCATGCCGATGAAAACCTTGAAATAATAAACCAATAAGAGATGCTTTTGAGCCAGGGCTTTACAGCTGCTTACTTACCGAGGCTGATCAAAGGTTCATGTGTCATTAAGAAAGAAATGCTGTGTTGCCATAACCCTTGGTCTCACCAACCTGTCTTAGAGGAGCATTGTACAGCATTTTGTAAACATTTGCTGATTTGAACATGGTGGTTGAGAATGTGACATATAAATAGATGTCATAAGCATGGCTTTGGCACACTAAGAAGAACATATAGAAACTGTTTGTACTTAAACTGAAGAAAATGTACTTGGATTTAAGCAGAATGGGTAGAACATATAGAGCCCCCACTGTCATGGACATATTAGAAACATGTCTGTTTTTATTTACACAGTATATATGTGTTTCTTATTTTGTAATAAAACGTCTCTTTAATCTAACAGCCTTTGCTTGTTATATTCTTTGAAGTTATTCCCACGATGTTTGCCGACTGATTCCTGGAACAAAATATATGAAGTCTGTGAATCCACAGGATCTCCTTTTTCTAGTTGTTGGTTTTTTTTACACAGGGGAGTTATTTTGTATTTTGACTGATGCTCTGATTTTCACTGCATTTGATATTAACTGATGCAATTTATGAAGTCTTGTCACCACTGGACGAAAAGACAGTTGCATTTCCAGGAATCTTAGTTCGGGTCAAACACAAAAAGTAAAAGTAACTGGCTGTGTTTTTAAAATGTGATTGATGAACTATAAGTGAAGCTGTGTGGTTTTCACACTCCCACACATAACAGAGTAGTTGCCATTATTTTTGACAACAGTGTTATGACATGCTGAGTTTGGGAATTCTTGTTTCTGATATAATGTATGGAGTCTGATGCCCTCTGATGGTCAGACTGTGTAATCTGCATGCAGAAAATCATTTGCTCGATCTTTTAAGCTTGTTAGACCTTAATTATGTAACAAAAGTTGCTCTTACCCATCACAGACTGAGAACTTTTACCTCATATTTACGGTGTTGTTTTGTAACCCCTCATGTCAGCGCAGTGGTTTATCATTTTAGTGTACTGCATTTTTTGTTATAGGAAGTCTATCCTGAACAATAAACCAGATTTTCTTTTGATCAAAACGTTATTGCTAAGAAATGCTATGAGTTGTTGGCTGAATAGGCTTCCCTGATATATCCAGTGTCTTTACATCGACAGTTTATTAAAATACTTTAAATCATAACTTGACTGCCTGTCAGCATTATATTTAAAGAAAAAAAATCAAATGCAGAATATCTGTGTTTGTATGTGTGATTTGACTTTAAAATTGCCTTTCTGATGGCAGACATTAGTTCTTTATTTGATAGATTGTCTACGTGAAAAAAATGCATGTTTGTAATTTGCTGAGACATCTATCCAATAAGCAGCCAAAGATTCTGGTGCTGCTTTGCTATTCATCGCTTTGCCGTTTGCTGCTTTGCTGTTTGTGGCATGGCAGTTCGTGGTCTTGCTGTCAACATATTCTGCATTTCAGAAATGCAGCAATATACTGTTAATTTGTCCATTCCCCAAATTGCCCATACACTGTAGCTGTTGTGCCATTTCTTTTTCATGTGTTAGGCCTGCAGCCTGCTACATATGCAAGATGACGTGTTAGTCGGGTTGCATTGTGCAGGATGCAAGACTGCTGAAAACCTGCTGGGCACCGTTGAAATGCTCCGTCATCTTTAGGGTTGTTAACATAAAACCAGGATCTGCAGTGTTCCTGGATGAGGCTCGTCAGGCACTTCAGGAATAAGAAGCCATCCATGTAAAGGTCATCCATTTAGATATTGAAGGTTTATCCTCACACGGTGTATGACAGTGCCTTGATCTGTCACAAGGTGGTGCTATTTGTTTTAGTTTCATGTTGCCACATCAGACAAGAAAATATTTCCACTATTTTATGCTGCTGATAAATCAGTACAATAAACTGTATATATATATGTGACCCTGACAGACTGAAGATGTTTTTCTCTTTGTGTTTGATTCTGTAATTAATATCAATTCAGAGATTTTAATTTCCAGATTTTATGTGAGACGCAGCACAAAAACATGTCAAAAAAGAATAAAATCTGAAGCCATTGTGTGCCTGCTGTGATGAGAACTAATTAACAGTATTTTTATTAGGAGAACCAAATGCACTAAAACTAAAATATATATAGGTTTTATTAAATAGACAATGAATGACAGACTCTCAAAATTGTAATAATGTTGCAGTATTTGAAGCAGCAAACCTGTTTTTCTAATTGCACAATATTGTATTGTTCTAATATCACAATAATGGCAGACAACTGGATCAAAACTGGTAGGCTACTAAACAAACTCTCACAGCTCCATCAGTCCTGTCAAGAAGATTATATAAATCTGACAACACATACTAACTATAGTTTATAATCATTTAACAGCCAGCAGTTTAATTTGAACCCATGTTTCAAGAACATATCCTGAGCCAAGAATGAAGTTGTTGCAGTTCTAAACTATCAGGTCTGAACCGCTCAATGTTAATGAACTAACCCCAACAAAAACAGGAATGTTAGTGAGCTCAGCAGCATGTGGCTTGTTAAGAAATCAGCCCACAGTGGGCTTATAAAGCTTAATTACGGTGCTTATTGATCATCATTAGAGGGCTGGAGAATCCACTTTATTTTGTTCATTAAGGCAAAACGAGAACAGAACATTAAGACCGCAGGCGGCCAGGTAATTTAACAAAGTATAATGTTCTGGGACACAGCACCAAAAATGCTGCACAATAAAAACAACAACAACTTAGCCAAAGGGTGACAGCAATCATTCTCTGCTTTGGTGAAATAAATTACCTTGTAAAGGACAGATCAGAAACCCATTTACATTAAAGCATTGGTTATGCAATTTTGTTTATGTGGTTTTCCAGGCAATTTTCCATCACATTTAGCACTTTTATTTCATCTTAAGAGAAATGTTGCCTCATTAGTCCACATAAGAAAATGTTTTTCCCACTTTCATTTCCAATAGATTATTGGCACGCATTTGTAATTACGCTGCTGAGTAA